TGTAAAAGAATGTTTACAGAAGTACCCTGAATAGATTATAGTCCTGAGGCATCCAGCCATAGTCCCAACTGGAAAAAATGTTTGCAAAGCGTCATCACTGTATTCAGTTTTACTTTGAAACTGGTTTAATAGTGTTTACAGAGGACATTGATTTCTGTAAGGATCTGTTAATGAGACATGCTTTTTTAGTGTTGATGTGTAACTAGGAAGTTAAACAGGAAACAGGTGACATTTGCTGATCTGTTGCTGGGTCTGTGAAGCTCCTCTCTCAGGGTGCAGGATGGTAAATGAGGGCCAAGTAGTTGGTGACAGTGTACCATAGGAATTGTTCAAGGTAAAATAACAGGATGCCGTTTCACTGTTAGAAATCCAGAATTCTGGGAAAAATGTTTGGTTTCCATTAATCATAACCATACAGCAGAAAGAGTTTATTAAACGTCTTTCAGATGCTATGGCTTCAGGGATTGAAAACTTCTGTGATAAAAGATCCACCCCAGTAGCTTTTCAGAGTCCTGAGTTATTACTGATGTCTTTACAATAAAATATAACTTGCATTTTTTAACGTGTTGGTGAATTTGGGGAAAAAAAAAGTCATATTGCAATTTATGATTTTTGGAGTTACTGTTAAATAGTTAACAAAGAAATCTGGGATGGCTCTCTTTTGGGCTTTGTGTTACAGAGGATACATCCCTGAGCTCAACAGTTGTTAATGTTGTTTGGATTTCTTATTTAAGCGGAGTTCTCTGTCTGTTCTTGCTAGGCCTGGAGCTCTGCAAAAGTTGAGCAGACACTGTTATAATATGAACATTAAGATGCAGGCTAAACAATTAATCTTTGAATAAGGCAGTGTTAGCTTCTTTAGAATGTGATGGATGGGTGTATACGGCTTCTTCTGATGATACAAACTAATAGCTTCTACATGTTGTAATTGTTTCTCATAAATTGTCTTGAGTCACACACCATGCGGTACACAGTTCTCTATGCTTACTTCCTGTGACGAAGAATTTCTGCTGTCAATAATGCAAAATGTCCTGTTCAGAATTTGTCATGTAAATTAAACTTACATTTCTAAGTGCATAGATACTAAAGCACAATAAGCATTTCAATTGGTTAATTTGTAAGACAGGTTTAAATTGTAAAATTTTGTAAGAAGATTTTCAATATAGTGACTGCTGATTTAAAAGGTCCTCTTCTTTTTTTTTACTGTAAATTTGTGCTCAAGGGCAAAGTGAAGACGGGGTAATCGTAAATTTGAATCAACCTGCATGGGCGCTTTTGAGGGCAAATATGAACCCTTTTTCTCTATCTTGGAACAAGGTGTCAGTGATTGAAGGCATTGGTGTCTGGTTAATCCATGATAGATCTACCCTTCACTGTAGATGACTTCATGTCTTAAAAACTGTATGTGGTTCATCTGGAAATCATACATTGCAATTACAGTAGAAATGCAGGCTTTAATCTTCTTTATAGTCTTGCGCGTTTGTGACATCTTGATCTGCATCATAAATTATTTTTTTTCCAAAATATCTATTTTCCTTGGAAGAAGGCCAGACAACTGTAAATAAATTGAAGTTTACATGTAATTGTGTGCGTTTTGGGAAACATCTAACGTTCAGTGTGTCAATCACATTGCTGGAGCGCATGGCTTGTCAGTTTGTTGTAAGATTCTTGAGGATTCACTCAGCTAACTAATCACTAAACAAACCCCCTTAACCCTCCCCCATAAGTCAAACATGAAAGAAAATGTGATTTGATTCTTCATTCGTTCTTTGTTTTGGTACAGTATTTTTATCCAGGCTGCGGCTGTGGATTGTGGAGATTTAGAAAGTAACTTGGTTTTCATTAACTTGTCATGTCAAATCCTCAGTCAGCACACTGTATGAGAAAAGCTCATTTATTCCTTTGATGGCATGCAAGCTGAAATGTCGGATGATTAAATTATAATCATGCACACCCTTTGGTGCAGTTCTAAGAATGCATGTACAGTAGCAGCTGATTACTTCTGTAGGTAGTCCTGGTTTCGTGATAGGGCCATATGGCACTTTCTTTGAGCAGTGTGATTTCCAGACTGCCCCACCTCCTGCTGTTGACAGTATTTCCCAAGAGCTTGAATCATCAATCAATGATCTTGTAAGGCAAGTTATTTGAGTTTGCCATCCTCGTATTAACAAAGAAAGCATTCTTTGTTTGTATTAAAATGCCGCATATCTCATTGATTGTAAATCAAGTGTGATCAATGTTTTTTTTAAACATTTTTATATCTTTCTTTTGAATGTTTTCATGACCCCTATAGCTGGGCTTGTAAAATTAAAAATAATCAAGGGAGAAAATGAAAAAAAAAACTGTCAAACAGGTCATCAGATATAATACATTACCACTTCCACTGACAACAACCTCACATTGCAGGACTTCTAAAACAAACTTTAAGAATCGAACTTACAATGTACATAAAAAGAAGTACAAAGAAAAACAAAGCAGGTGTATAATGTCTATTCTGGCAATGAATTAAAAAGAACAATAAGACCCACAGTAAAAAGATCCTGCATGTAAAGTGTGGGTTTTTCCACTCTCTGGTGTTAGCCAGCTAAGAGCGTGCAATTCTCCCAGAAATACATCCAGACACCATTAGGGAGTGCCTGTTTGGAATTACAACAGGAGGTAAATTATCTTTATAAAGATAAAGAAACCCAGGCAAGCAGGGACTCCATAGCAAATAACCAAGTTTAAAATTCAGTTTTCAAGAGGTGGTCATGACAGTGAGTGATTATATTGGTCTTCTGCACTATTTGCTTGACATAGATATCTGAAAGCTGTAATTTTTTTGCACCAATAATTTTTCTGAATACCTACACAGTCCTGTTAAGTTTTTAGTGCATGTATTAAGGTTACCAAACCAGGATACCCAATTGAACATCAGGGTAGATTAATTGAAAGTTCCAACTCCAAACAGACAGCACCTCAGGGCTGGAATTGAACCCAGGGCCCCAGAGCTGCAAGGCAGCAATGCTAACCCCTGCACTGCTGAGCCACCTCTATTTACTTTCTGTAAGCCTCTAATTCTGTTGAGGAGTATACAGAACACATCCCTGAAGTGCAGGGCCCAAGGGGAACTGGTAGAAGATGACTGCTCTCCCACTGATCAGGATGCTGGTTCACCTCAGGGCTGTGGAGAATGGGATAATTTACAGTAGCTCAGTCAACACATCTTCAGGAAGTGGAAGGAAACTAGAGCACCTGGGTAAAAACACAGGTGAACAAGGAGGGTGTAATCAAACACCACAGGAAACCGGAGCTGTATCCTTGTAGCTTTAAAGCATAATAAGCACATATTCACCCTTTTGCCTTCCTGTGTATTTGAAAATAGCAGAGTAGTGATATCCTTGTATATGACAGGTGTTCCATATTTAATAAAGGAACAAAGCTTTTTCCTTTTCTCATTAAATAGAAAAAAGAGCTTGCAAAAACGAGCCATAATTGTCAGCAGCAAGAAATAACAGCATTCTAATGTCGATAGAGAATTCAATATTTGTACACGGTCATAAGGGCTGCGTATATTAGCAAATACTGTACATGAGGAACTTCAGTCCTTCTGGTTATTTAAAGGGGCTGATTGTTTACTCCTTACCAGGTTGAGCAAAACATTCAGGAGATCAGGAGGTCTGCACAGCTGGGTGCCACATAGCAAATGACTCCCCATTATCCTGCAACACCTTTGTAATCTGCAGATTCCATATGTGTCCTTTACATGTAATTACTCTGATGAAAAGTCACCAGACATATACATTTCTTTTTATTTTTTGATTGTAAGGGATGTTTCGCTTCATCCTAGCTGCTTCAGAAGGTCAGGTTCTGTCGTGGTAATTGTGAAGTTCAGCAGTAACTGGACAAATATGTAGTTTCAGAAAAAACTGGTACCACTCCACGATGCCCCCGTTTCTCGAAACGTTTCTAAAAAGTCTACTCGAATTGGCTCACAAGAAACTAGATTGTTTAGATTTAAATTGATGAAATTAGGCTTTTGTTTCATATTCCCATGTGTCGCTTTTTAACGTCGGTATTCGTTCCAGATGTAAAGTAAGAAAGGATTTTAGTTTTTATTTAAATGCTTATTGAACTGAGACTCCCATCAAGCCAATTCTTGAAGGATAGTTAAAAGTTACTGAAAATAACATTTCAGTCACGAACATTCTCCGCTTAATTGCTGTCTGCTGTAAAGAGCTGTAAAGTGAAGAGATGATCCACACAGCTCGGTACCTGTGGCATTAAAAGTCATAAAAATAAAAAAGTATGGTTCATGAAAAATGTTATTTTATGTGTTAGTCTTTGTTTATTTTGAAAAAAATGTGAAGAATACTAAAAATAGATTCCCCTGTAGAATTTGTGCATTTTTTATGTTGCTGTAGGAAATGCGCTATTTCTTTCTGCTGTCTTATCTTCTTTTTTTATATAATATCGTATTTTTCTTTTTTTCAAAATTCTCCTTTTCTCAGATTTTGAAAAAATATTCTGTGTCAGATTGCTTGGAGAAAATTGTTTACATATGATTCTTCAGAAATCTGTCATCAGCTGATGAATTGTATACAGCTGGTTATGAAATGAGTGTTCACAAGTTGTTACGTATGTATTATCAAATGCAGATGCTTGTACAAAATAGCATTTATCATTATCAAAGGAGTGTGTTACTCTAAATGAAGTTTCACAGTTTAATATCTTCACTTGGATCACTGGTGTTATATCAACAGGTCAGGTCAGGTTTCTTTGTGCTTTTACTAGTGTAATAAGTGCTGTGTTCCAGAATTTGCCTGAGATGTTAGAACAGTAGTGTACTGTACTAAATGAATAAAACAAATTCTTAACTATTCCTGAATTATCACCAAATTCCTATTTTAGGTAAAGCTGAGCTTTTGCAGACTGTTGATCTATTTACTGTTTTCTGAATGTTTTAAATTTTACTATATATACAATATAGCCCACAAACAAATTGATTTTTTTTGTTCTAGATCTGTCATCAGCGAAGAGGAAGTTTGCCGAATCACTGAACGAATTCAAGTTCCAGTGTATAGGAGACGCTGAGACAGATGATGAAATATGTATTGGTAAGCAGTTCTAATATCATGTCCTTTTATTCTCCTCTTTTGATTAATAAAAATGTTGTTCTTGAAATATCCCTCCAAAAAAGCTGTTTCTCTCTCTGTAATGTTCTGGGGCTCCTTTCTGTATTTCTTCTGATAACAGAAGTTCACAAGGGAGATTCAATAAATTAAATAATGGGATCTCTCACTGTTGAACACTTATTACACCAATGGATTTAAATTTATAGAGCTCCTTCACACCAAATTCAGGGGAGAGCATCGCCTGTCCATGGTAATGTGAAGTATTAGTTTAAAGTTGAATTTTTGCAAATATGATTTGACTTGAAACAAGACTTGAAGAAAGCTGCAAGAATCATTTTTTTGTGCAAAGAGCACAACACTGGCTGAAATTCACAATCAACATATGGAGAAACATAGACCATATCCCACAGAAACAGGTGTGGGTGTGTTGTTATGCCTTTGATAGTAATAGGTCAGAGACTTCAAATGCACAGTGACCTGGGCACTGAGATGCACCTGAGCATCCCTGTCTAACTCTACCACTTTTGAAGCATGATTTAGGAAGACAGCTGTGAAAACAGTACCTTGGGTACCTGGGTCCTGTGAATGCTATTGTCCATGGGCAGTTGGGAAAGCACAAATTGTGTGCAGTCCGAGTACTGAAGCTCATAGATTATTATAGTGCATTATCCATCCCGACGCTGTCAGCTCTTCCTGTGAGCATGTCAGAGAGGTGTCAGTCAGAGTTTGAAACGGATTTGTACTACACTAGATTTAACGTGTCAGTGTCACCGAGGGAAACAGGACAGAGGGTTGAAATTATATGGGAAAGCGATATATACGATTCCCTTAATACTAGTTGGTTTCCAGCAAGAATATGTACCAATAAACAAGAAATAGATGCCATTACCGTACCTTATGTATTCAAAAGCCTTAGACCAAGTTGTACTACACAAATGATAAATTTTAAAAGTATTACTTTTTTCATTTTTCAGTTCTAATAATATAAAATTCACTTTTTGTTCTTTAATGCCGTTCATTTAAATGGTGAAACTACCCAGTGTATCTCTACAGATAAATGTATCTGCATATGCATTACTTGATCTGTAGAAAACAATGTTAAACAATTTGCCAGTGGTTGTGTGTGCACCACTTTTGCAAGTCTATACTGTGCATTGTAATGATGTTGTGAATGTTCATGGGTGTTTTTGTTAGCATTTTAGTACAAGTCTTTATTAACAGTCTTGGGGTCTTTTTTTCTCGCTGTCTTTCTTAGCAAAATCACTTCAGGAGTTTGCAGGCGTTTTAAAAAACCTGGAAGATGAGAGGACGCGGATGGTGAGTTTTTAAGACACAGGTGTCCGTGTTTAAGAAAGTAAGAGCTATGCGTTTAATCTTATCATTGCAGCTCCATCCTCCCCTCAGACTCTCAGAAGGTCCTACGTGGACATGAGCCCTGTGGTGTTAAACAGTGGAATACCACATGAATGTAATACACAGGGGCCATTGTCTTCAGTTAGATACTATATATCATAAATTCGTTACATTTTAAAGTATAAAAAATTAACTTATTCAGTTAGAATTTAATCAATTCTGTGAAAAGATTAAAATAAAAGTGCTTTGTTCATTATTTGACCTCATGTCTTGGACAGCCCTCCTTTGTTTAGAGGTTTTTAGAGAGGGTTTTTATTTTAAATGTGTGTTTTCCGTTTTAGACAACGGCCCTTTTAATACACATGTACTGCATAAAAAGCTCTAATTTTATGTGAGGAAGGGTTATTATGAATTTGTTATGTTTTTTTACAGTTATTTGAAAATAGTTTTCATTAATCTTTTCATTTATAACAGTTTTATTAATCAATGAGAAATTTAATTAATGTAGTAAAGACAATATGAGCCTTGTACAAGCCCCACAACAGCATTTGAAAGAAATGGCCTTTTCTTTGTCTACGTCGACATGCCCCTCTGTTGCCCTCTTGACCTCAGTGTCTCCTTCAGATTGAAAACGCCAGTGAAGTTTTGATCACCCCCCTGGAACGATTCCGCAAAGAGCAGATTGGTGCCGCTAAGGTAATTTGATCTAGATGTAGAGCAGGTGAGAACTGGCGGGAGTGGGCGGGTGTGTTGATGTAGTGTTTTCTCTTAAACAGGATCCTGGTTAATGAGCGACCCCTGTGGATGTTAAAACAGAAGGGTACAAAAATTCCTTTCATAATACTGCCATCTTTTGGTTGGTAGGGCAAAATGCTAGATAAGACAAATTGTTATTGAAACACAACACTGGATTCTAGGTAAATGTTGAGTTTGACAAAATTAGGGTTAATTCTCTCTGTTTTGGCTGTTAAATCTTTTTGTCATTTGTGAACAGGTTTCTGACAAAGTCCTATGCCATATGGTGGTGTGCTTTGATCCCACTTGACCACATTGAAACTGACTAATACCTCGTGCCCACCATTACAGTTCATTGTATAGACTGACATAGGTGGTGCACACAAAGAGCTCAGGATGTGCTTCCATTTAATCTGGAAAAAAATATGTTTTGGGCCTTTCAGCCAAGAAGTTAATTCATATACAAATCCAGTTGTAGGTAGTAAGGCACTGGCTGACCCTATTGATAATTCTTTAAGCACTTTACTTTCATACGGATAGATATCATAGATGTCACACAAAATTCCATCCATACTTTTTTTCTTGATTATTTATTAAGATTATTTGTTGTGAGTTCAATTACCAGTGCCTTTGGTACCATATCTTTCCCTAAGTTTCCATAACACAAAATCCTTTGGCACTGGCAGAGGTTCACCGCAAATGACTGTGCAGCTTTAGCTTTGTAAACAACATCTGTCAATGTGATACAAACCAGAAAAGTTTGGGTAAGATTATTTTTCTTAATCGGAGAGGATAAAGGGAACTTTAGCCTTTGCCAGTACTGCAAAATTAAAATCCAGCTTGGTTATGAAATTGGGTTTTTCCAAACAAGCATATGAAAAAAATATTTTGTAGTTTTTAATAGACCATCCTTTTCAATGAAAACACTTCTTTAAAGGTAGATAGCAAATGTTGTGACATTCATGCCTTATAGATGGGGATGTTTGGAGTTGATTAAATCTTGTTTGGCAGCATTCTTCATTTTATATTTTAAACATAAATGTAAAAATGTCCAGTGTTTTCCATGGTTTTGAGGAGGAAAGACTCAAACAAATTCTGTAGTTTTTGTGTTGGCCATAGCCAAATTTGGTATGTGTGAAGAGATTTGGAGATTTCCAAGTGTGTGATTTCTTACTTATGGAGAAATGGTAACAGAGTGGGGAACCTGTGGTAGTTCAGATCCAATAGTGGAGATCCTGGTAGAATAAAATCTTTTTTTGGCTGTAAAATGTAGAACTCAAACATGTGAGGAATAAACACTACAGGCAATAACATTAACTGTAATGCTTTTTATAAAAAAACACTTTTATTTAAAAAGTGTGTTCTGCAGAGATGCTGCAGAACAGATTGTTACTCCATTTAGATTTATGGACTTTTATGGTAATGAGAGGCTCTAGAATGCAATGCTAGTAGGGACACTTTTTTTTTTAGTTGACGTACACTAGATGTGGTATCGATCAGAAGTATTAGCGGCATAGTTAACAGTCCTTTGCCATTACATCCATCCATCCATTCATTCATTCATTCATCCATCCATTCATTCATTCATTACTGCTTAGCAGCTAATCCCAGTGAAGGCCTTGGCAAGCTGGAGCCCATGCTGAAGCATAGCATGAGAGGCAGGACACGGCAAACATCAGCTATTGCTCTGGATGGGATGCCAGTAGGGCTCCGAGTAAAGGGACAGGTTAGAATTATCAACTGAACTACCCTGCATGTCTTTGAGAGGTGAGAGGAAAACCAAGAGAAACCCTGCTTGAAGATGGAGGAGGATGTGCAAACTCCACACAGACAAAAACAAGGCAGAACCGACCCCAGACCTCAGAACTATGAAGCAGCAACACCAACGACCATGTCCTTGTGCTGGCCTCTTTGATCACTCTGATGGGGGAGATGTTTGTAGAATGTGATCATGCAGATCACGTTAACTGTGATTTTATTTTCCCGCATTGAACTTTGGCTGTCTTTTCTGTGAAAACATTTATTGGATAGCTTTCTGTGTTCTGTCTTCCATTTCAGGAAGCAAAGAAGAAGTATGACAAGGAGACTGAGAAGTACTGCAGTGTCTTGGAGAAGCACTTAGGCCTGTCCTCTAAGAAAAAGGAGGCTCAGCTCCATGAGGTAAATAAAACGAATCTGTGAAATATCGATTTAAATTAGTGAGATATGTTTTAAGTGATTTTTGAGAAAAGTTCCTTTGCAGCCATCTTTCCACAGATGTGCAAACTGAAACCAATGTTCTGAAGAAATTAAACACTGTCCATTCTGAGCTCTAGTTTTATGTAAAGCTGTAGTAGTCCACATAGGGCAATTAATTAGCTACAAACTGTTCTGCCTTTTCTCCCAGAAAAAAGGACTGGAAATAATTATTAAATTGACAACTTGTTTTGGAAATAAGACTTACTGATGAACCTTAGGCATTATTGTAGCCACAGCACTAATGTGAGTTTGTTTTGTTTATTCTGTCAATATGGTGTTCATAGTCCTGATCAGGACCAGTGGGGTCAGTGTGTGTTAACTGTGAACTGGTCAGAGCCCCGTGGTGAGCACAGGACCAGCGAAGACAGTATGTGCTGACTGGGGACTGGCCAGAGCCCTGTGGTGAGCGCAGGGCAAGTGAAGACAGTATGTGCTGATTGGTGAGTGGTCAGAGCCCTATGGTGAGCGCACGGCCTGTGAGGTCACTATGTGCGGATTGTGGACTGGTCAGACCCCTGTTGTGTATGCACGGCCAGTGAGGTCAGTATGTGCTGATTGGGAACTGGTCAGAGCTCTGTGGTGAGCACGGGGCCAGTGAGGTCAGTATGTGCTGGTTGGGGACTGGTCAGAGCCCTGTGGTGAGTGCAGGGCCAGTGAGGTCACTATGTGCTGATTGGGGACTGGTCAGAGCCCTGTGGTGTGCGCACAGCCACTGAGGACAGTATGTGCTGATGGGAGATATTCTTTGTCCCTGCAGGCTGATGCTCAGGTGGACAATGTCAGGCAGCACTTCTACGAAGTATCTCTGGAGTACGTCTTCAAGGTGCAGGAGGTCCAGGAGAGAAAGATGTTTGAATTTGTTGAACCTGTATGTATATCCTAACCTTTTCATCACCGAATTACTATGCAAAACAGAAGAGTACAACTCTTTGAAATAATTGAGGCATCTACTAATTTTCTTCTTTCTTTCCATATTTTTGTTTCAGTTGCTAGCATTCCTTCAAGGATTGTTCACGTATTACCACCATGGTTATGAACTGGCAAAAGACTTCAACCACTTCAAAACAGACCTCACCATTAGCATCCAAAATGTAAGAGCCTAATTCCTGTAGCATGGAATATGACTAAATGTAGTTATGCTTGACACAGAGGGTGAACGTCCATTGCTCATCATTCTGGATTAAGAGAGCTCTCTTCAGTATTTCTTGACATTGTGGCTTTTGTAAATGTTCTTCAAAAATACTGTTTTTGAATTTATATATTCAGTATACAGTACCACTTGTTGGCCCTGTCAATTCTTCTTCATTCTCTCTGCAGATGAAATGGTTTATTTAATATGACACTATGGACAAAGTTCAGTGTTATCATCAAATATTTCTGCTCTTCATTGCTATCTACAACATAATAATTTATCTATATATCTTTAGAAAGTTTTCATTGCATATGTTACAGTTGTCTGATTCTGAAACATAAACCAGAAACACAGGTGGAAACTAATGTATGCATAAGTGCATTTGAAACCAAGAACAGGAGGCACTTCATTATGCAAAGAGTTGTGGGAGTCTGGAACAGCATTACCCAGCCATGTTGTTGGAGCCAATAACCTGGCTTCCTTTAAGAAACAGTTACAGTAACTTCTAACTTCCAAACTGGCCAGATGGACTGAATGGGCTCATCTCCTTTGTGACCTTTCTGTTCTTACTGTATGTAAAATACATTTCTATTGACTAATGGTTGTCTAAATTTTTTTGAAGACAGTATAGTGAGTGGCTAAGTACTTTTTAGTTGGAATCACCATTTTTTTTCTACCAAGTTTGCAATCCCACATTGTGTTTATCTTGTCTTGGCTATAAACCCTGTGACCGCACACAGGGGAAAATGCGAAAGTATAGGTAGACGTCTGTGACACACTCATCTTACCAGTAGCAGGTAGTGATAGCTCTGTAATGGTGGTCCAGCACTGATTGGTGGAAAGGCACATCCCACACAGACGGATCCACAGGACTACAGTGGTCACTGTGACACTTGAGAACTGAGACCTTCCTGGCTGACTAATCTTACCCTTGTGTAACAGGCCTCAGTGGCACTGATGTCACTCTCTTGAAACTTAGTGCTGAATTCTCCTGTGGTAAAAGACCTGGTCTTTTGGTACAGTAGAGTTCAACTCTGTCTAGGATGTAGCATTGTCTGGCTCTGAGGCCGTGAGTGACTTTGTTTCAATTCTGACAGAGGCTGAGCTCAGCCAGATACAGTTGGTTGTGTGCTGCTGCAGGGGGAATCCCAGTCGCAGTCAGCTAGTGACAGGACCGAGGCTCAAACCAGGACACCTTTATCATAGGGCTCAACCGGCGTTTGGGATGACTGTGCATTTTTTATCAGTTGAGCCACTCAGAAGGCCCATGATCAGGGTTTATCATGGAGCAGAAAGGTCCTGGTCTAGGCTGATGCGATCAACCCTTTTCCATCAGACGAGGAATCGGTTTGAAAGCACAAGGTCGGAAGTGGAGTGTCTAATGAAGAAGATGAAGGAGAACCCACACGAGCACAAGAGTGTCAGCCCCCACACCATGGAGGGATACCTGTTCGTGCAGGAGAAACGTGAGTAACCAACTTGTTTGAATGACCATGTGGGGCAGAACCTCCATCAAGAAACTAGTTCAGACCTAAACACGTGGTTTTCAGTTCTCGGAAAACTCCACTTAGTTATTTTCCGTATCAGAGATTGTCTAGGTCACCTTCAGTCACCTGTATTTTTTTTTAAGATTAGGAACGTTTGTAAGCTTTTGATAAAGTAAGTAAATCATTTCCTCAGTTAAGAGAGTTTTGAACTATATATTCTCTAAATTACTTAATTTTAAAAAATCACTTGTAACCTGATCATTACGATGGTTAAATTGCTTCAATTTAAGGTCATCCTGTACACACATCCTCTTTTAATTTAGACATTCAAAATAAATCCAGAACATGAGTTTTACTTTTACCCCAACCACCAGCTATCAGCTCAATGCATTCTCTTAGCTATTTTATCTAATGTCTAATCTAATTTTAATTCCTAAATTAAAGATAAGTTGAAGTCCAGAAAGACCTGAAGTTTACATTTGCTTTACATTTTTATGATGTAAAACCCATGTGAAGCATTTTTGGCCCTAACTGTGGCCACATACAGTGCGATCATCACATATACATATATACAGTATAAGTCAGATTCTTGAGGTTGAACTTATTCATACCTTGAGATATAATTGGAAGATTAACTGCTATAGCCCTTGTTAAACTGTTACTGCATATTTTAGTCTCTGCTGAATATAATTTTGACCATCGGTATTGCTTCCGTTACAATATTTAAGAGATCACTTTATTGGCCATATACAATTTCTTGTGTTAGGAATTTGTCTTTTCACATACCACGGCTTGCTCTCCATGAGACACACAAGATAGGGAGAGAAGCTTGGGGTCAGAGTGCAGGGTCAGCCATTTATACGGCACCCCTGGAGCAGCTGGGGTTAAGGGCCTTGCTCAGGGGCCCAACGAAGTAGGGCCAGCCGCGGGATACGAAACGGCAACCTTCCAGCCACAGACACAGATCCTTAGCCACAGAGCCACCGCAACACCCAGCCACCACACCGCCCATGATGCACTGCACCATTAAACACGAGGCTCAAATATTTAACCACAGTCTCTCGTCTCCCAACAGGTTCCTTTGTGTCCACCTGGGTGAAACATTACTGCACTTACTACCGGGAGCCCAGACGTGTGACCATGGTTCTGTTTGACCAAAAATCTGGAGGGAAGGTGGTGAGTAGGCCCGAATGCAGTGCTTCTTCTTGACAGGCGTGTATTCTTCTGTATGTCGTAATGCATTTCCAGTGTTCTGCATTGCTACAGCAGGACATTTTTTGTTGTTGCATTCTGATTCAGTATCTTTCCTGATGCAGAAAAACCTTTAAATATATATTTACCAATTTGATTTGAGATGACAGTTAATCCTGATAGCTCTGCATTTTGTAGTTTAAAAAAGTAGCTTTTTTGCTTTGTAGATGTTAATAGGGGAACAAGTAATGTTAATAAAGAGGCATATCTGACAGTGAACCAATTACATTTTGACTGGTAAATGTGACAGAATAGCTTCTGCAATGTTTCATACAGGCTGCTCAAGTTTACCTTGTTGCTGTGATCAAGGTTTTGTGGAATCTTCTCAAAAGCTACAGAAAGTGACAACCTTGTTATTTTCTATTTATGAGTTTTAATAGTCAAAAACACTAGCTGAGACCTATTTAATTGGGAACTGAGTAGATTGTTGATGCTCATAACATGCTTATTTTACGGCTGACTTCTGGTAGACAGTATGGTTCAGAAGGTGGTTCTTTTCTGCAGTAAAGACTTTATGCTGAATCAGAGTCTGCAGACCTTGTATCCTTCCAGTGATACAGGGGAAGCTATTATCAATAACATGAATGCAGCATGACCTCTTCACAGTCAAATCTCTTACATTTAGAGATACTCTTGTTCACAAGGGCACCGATATTCAATCCTGGAATGCTGGAGGTCAGCCATGTCTTCCTTCCACCCTGGCCTTTTAATGACTATTTGTATCAGTTGCTGACTTAATAGGACTATATTAGCACCGTTTCTTTTCTTATTGATAATTATAAGTGACTTATAAATCCTGTTGGACTGCTGCCCTCCAGGACCAGGATCATTGCACTAGGGCATCACTGGCTCAATTGATTTAAATAATTGCAGCTTAAGAAGAATCTTAATGCACACAGCACAGGAAACTGGCAACTTCTTGTATTGAAGGTCTACCAGTCTGTGAACTGTTTCACTGGATACAACCAAGTCATTCTTAGAGTATGAATATCTGGTATAAACCTCTAGTTGAGAACCTTAATCAGGTGAATGCTCCCTGTTCTCGAGGAGTTTCTTACCACACTACACCAGCATTTAAAAGGAAGTAAAGAAGAAAAAAATATTTTTTTTAAGGGTGGAGTAGATCCTTTCTCCTGTTTGTTTCATACTGATATGGCCAGCAGCCATATCACCCTGCAACTCACAACTGGCAACCCACTGAAGCTAAGCAGGTGTGAGCCTGGTCAGTACCTGGATGAGAGACCTCCTGGGAAAAACTAAGGTTGCTGCTGGAGAAGGGGGTTAGTGGGGCCAGCAGGGGGCACTCACCCTGCGGTCCATGTGGGTCCTAATGCCCCAGTATAGTGATGGGGACACTATACTGTAAACAGGCGCCGTCCTTCGGATGAGACTTAAAACCGAGGTCCTGACTCGAGGTCTCTGTGGTCATTAAAAATCCCAGGGCGTTTCTCAAAAAGAGTAGGGGGTTTAACCCCGGCTTCCTGTCCAAATTTCCCATTGGCCCTTACCAATCATGGCCTCCTAATAACCCCCCTCTATGAATTGGCTAGATTACTCTGCTCTCCTCCTCACTGATAGCTGATGTGTGGTGAGCATTCTGGCGCACTATGGCTGCCGTCGCATCATCCAGGTGGGGCTGCACATTGGTGGTGGTGGAGTCCCCATTACCAGTAAAGCGCTATGAGTGGAGTGTTCAGAAAAGCGCTATATAAGAGTAAGCAATTATTATTATTATTATTATATTTTCGATTTTGTGCAGAGCCTTAGATTTGGGTAGTCTGTCTGGTATGGGACAGTTGTTGATTGGGCAATCAGATTGTAAAATAATTAAAAGGTGTATTTAAAATTAATATGTGGTATTTAGCATTGTCAGATACCATCTTATGCAATTTTATTCATGTTAGCTTGAGAGCAAAGAATTTTAGGTATGGGGAGAGCCTATCTTTCTTTGAAAAGCCTCTCAAAATGTATTGATCATGTCATGCAGGCTCTTTGTCATGAAATACCTCATGAGCTACACAACTGTCAGAAAGCACTGCACATATGAATCGAATTGTTTTTCAGAAACTCTTTTTTGTTTCTTTGCTGTTTTTGCCAGGGAGAGGAAGAATCCTTCATTTTAAAGTCCTGCACTCGGAGAAAAACAGACTCCATAGAAAAGAGGTTCTGCTTTGATGTGGAGGCGGTCGATCGGTGAGTGGGGTGGCAGTGACTAGATTTTTGTCACAAGGTGGCAGTCTTGAGACTTGAATGAAGAGCCCAGTCTTGTAATTGCTTCCTAGAATGGAGTAAACACATTTGTTATAAACACTGGGATGTGGCAAATTGGCAACCACTTGTATCTCTTTAGTGTTATATTAACTATGATTGGACATGTAAACATCTTCATCACTTTCATTGTGGGCATTATAGTATGGAAAAATAAGTACAGTATAATCTTTCTTAAAATAAAACAAATCTCAGAGGTTAAGTTAAGCCAGTTAAAGACTTAAAATATTGTTTCTTACTCATGTTTCCTGTCTGGCAATTGCAGTTATTCGGTTGCAGTTATACTTTTATCAGTGAAAAAACTACAAGAGGTAGTAACAAGCAATTCAAGTAATTTATACAAATTTATTAGCAGAGAAGAGGAGACAGTATTGTGGCTGCTTCGAAAGCTGTGCCACATTTCAGTGTCCTCTCCTGTGTTTATTCCTGTGTTATTTTCTTGCTTTATCCACTCCCCCGTGCGGCCTGTAGCTTACAGTGTTGGAGGACTGCGTGGCACATGGGAGTCTCTCTCAGCGCTGTGTCTGTCTTCCAGGCCGGGGGTGATCACCATGCAGGCCCTGTCCGAGGAGGACCGCCGTCTGTGGATGGAAGCGATGGACGGGAGAGAACCGGTATGGACCTGCTGAAACGTACTCTCCTTCTCCCTCCGCATCGCATGCATTGTTGTGGGGTGTCTTTTCCTCACTCCTCTGAGGCCTCTGAGGTTTTCTTGTACTTGAAATACCCAATTTTGAACAATAATTTTTCACTGAAGCAAATTGAATAAGATTTCTGTTTTTTTCTTCTTTTTTTTTAGTGGGTGACATAAAAATATGTGACACTTTTAAAAACCTAATTTCGCTGTCTGGATTTCCGCCCTTGAGAAATGGGAGTTTTATCATTCTACAAGAAATAGCTTTTGGGGGTGACAGTTCACAATAGTTTTAATTGTTCCTCCAGGCTAGGATGTATTCCCCAGTTTGGATTAGCATTACTGTGCAAAAGTAATATGAAAGATGGGAAGACATCTTACAGTTCTCTGTCTTGGAACCAGAGGAAAGACATTTCTAGTTATGCTTTATAAATGAATGATTTTCATTAAATGTATGACAACTGTTTTCTTTCCTCCCTGGAGCATTACTGATTGTTTTGTGAAACAGGCTGTTTTTGTTTGAAGTAGTCTTTTGGCGCTGAGGCACAGCAGTAATATGAACAAGGATGTCTTCTGGATTCAAGGCTAGGCTTACAGTATGTACTACTGCTCACTAGTTAGTCATTTTTGGAGAAAATGTCAGTGATCTTATTAAATACTGTAACAGTGGCCTCTTGCATGACTCAAATCACTCAAGTTCTGATTGAAATCTTGGATTGTGGCCTCCGTGGTAATGCAAACCCAGTGTGACTGCTGTTCTCCGAGCCCTGGCACACAATTGGCTGCCCAATGCTGAGGTTATAGGGGGATTAGTTGGCCAGGGTGTTCACAGCTCGTAGCTATGAGGTTATGAGGCGTTACCAGTAAAGAGTGGCCCTCTTCTCCATTTGGTGCTGAACACTTTGGTTGAATTGTGACTTTTGAAAAGAAGTGTCTTGAAGGTGGGAAGTCAGAGGAGCAGGGTTTATAACTGTGAAGCACACTATTGGTGATTCCAAATCAGGCGGATATAACAAAAATAATGGGTACTACTAAATGAAAAAAATATTTTATTGTTTATAATAATATATTAATAAGGGAGTCTTTAATGTCAAAAAAAGCATTGGGCATTATATAACACAAATTAATCGATGGATGTTTTTTAAGAAACTCTAAGAAATTGTTGCTGGAAAGATGTAGGATAGTGTAGTGCACTCGAGAGTATGAAAGACAATGGAAAAGCTGCACTAGGAAAAGATTTTTTGTGATCTCAATTTGTTTCTAAAGGAAGCTTTGGGAAGTGAAGGAAATACTAGAAATAAATCCCATATATTCCTTTCAACCTTCCATTTTCTAACCACTTTATCCAATACAGGGTTGCGGGGGGACCAGAACCTAACCTGGCAAGCAGGGGGCACAAGTCCTTGCCCACGCAGGGCACACATAGGGCAAACATAGACACACAATCTCACATCAGGGCCTATTTTCCCAGAAGCCAATTAGTATGTTTTGAACTGTGGGAGGAAACCAGAGGAACAAGCTGAAACCCACGTGGACACGGGGAGATCATACAGATAGCACCCCAGGAATTAAACACCAGACTCCGGCAGTGCAAGGCTAGCCACTAACTGCACCAGCATGCAGTACATCCAATATGTTCCCCTCTTATCAAATAATAACTGTATACACTGAAGGAAAAATTAATAATCCATCATCATTAATTCATTGTTATTCTTGGCAAATATCCTGGGAAGTATAACCTTTACATTGAAACTTTTTATCTGCAGGTGTACAACTTGAACAAAGACAACCAGAGTGAAGGCAGTAAGTAGGACTGATTTACAGTGCCGTCGTATTTGTCTAGGCAGACAGGAAAATCCAATCTGCAAATGCGCAAAAAAGCAGACGTTATTGATTCTGTCACGTTTTCATTTTTCTTAGTCATCGCTTCTGGCTGTGTCATTTTAAGTTGGGGGGGAAAAAGAATAATTAGAGTTGCAGTGGGGTATGATGGATATTTGTGTGCAGCTGGAACGAAGTAGTTTGTGCTCTTTTTTTTTTGTTTCACCAACCCATAAAGGTTTTAATCTCTCAGCCTTGAGAATTAAATTCAGCCCCCTGATATTTGAGCTGCCAACACTGGGTTACAGATTCATAACTCTTTCTGCCTTCCTACTTGCTTCTTCTTGCTGGCATAACAGTACTGCTGATTGTACCATACATTATGTCTGGTATTGGATGCTGCTGAATCAGGGCCTGAATCAGGTGCCAACTTACAGTATAGTATTTTTTAACTATGAAATATGCCTGGTTGCAGATGTGTGCGTGTTGTTAACTTTTGAACGCAATGGTTCAGAAGGCTGAATTGGGAGATAAACGATGGGTTGGAGGTTTTGAACTTCTTTCTTGACTTTATGTGGCTTTTTTCTTGCATTGTTTCCTCTTTCAGCTGCTCAGTTGGACATCATTGGCTTTACTATTATGAAGAAATTCATTCACGCTGTGGAGACACGAGGTAAAGGGAGGCCCTTGAGTTTTTGCTCATTCAAAGTTAAAATATAACTTAGAACTTTGTTGCAAGTTATTAATTCATGAATTATACCCAACAGGAATCAATGAGCAAGGGCTGTACAGGATAGTGGGTGTCAGCTCCAGAGTTCAGAAGCTTCTCAGTCTTTTGATGGGTAAGGACACAATGCTGGAATCTTCTTTACCTCATTTTTAACGTATTGTCCTGTGTGTCCTGTGGGAGTGTGGAGCAAGCTGCTCAGCCATGTTTTAAAAGCTGATTTCAAGAAACAGCTTCTTTCAAGAAACAGCTGGAGGAGATCCTCAGATCATTACTATACTGACTTCTAAGGGAGCCTATATGGGCCTGATGGCCTCCTCTCATTTGTAAACTTCCTTATATTCTTGTGTCAGACACCTAGAAGTTTCTAGATGCGACTGAAGCCTCTTTTTCACAGATGTGATTCTAGTGAGGCACATGCTTTTAAAATTCAGTGCTGGGAGTATAAGAAAGGGAGGCTTTGGTAGGAAAAGTAGAAGGGAAACGTGGATTGTGCCTTTCCCGACTAGTTTGTGTTCCAGAGGTAATTTGAAGAAGGTGCATTTGGGCATGTTTTGTAAGACTGTCCCCCTGATTTTTACAGGAAACGATCGGTTGCTTCAGTTTGAAAGCATTGTTAAAAACGCACTGATCTCCCGAAGGGGCCTGTCTGTGAGAGACACACCAAGAGCTGGGAAGAATTGCTCATAAAAAAACGAATGGAAACACAACTGTCTTACTTTTTTCTGTTCTGTATCTGGTGTTTAGACACAATGATCTGGAACAGTTGGAGGAAATTATTATTTGTGCTGCACCCTGTGAATTACATAACACAAATTAATTGAAAAGCTCTGCAGAACAACACATATCTAATACACAACACAAGCAAGAAGTGGGGAAAAAAAACAGCAAATTGATTTTGTGAAACCAAAATATAAACTAAATTATACATTGAAATATTTAGTGAAAACACGTAAGCAAGCTCTGGAAATGGTGACAGGCACATAGAGGCATCGAGTTGCCAATTGGAATTTGGCAATGAGTTACACTGATGTGGTGCTGCACATGAGAAGGCTCTATGGTCCGTTGTGTGGAGTCTCTGATCTTTGAGAGAGTAAGAAGGCTCAAACTGGTATATATCACTGGCTAAGAGCTGATCTACGTTCATGCAAGAAATCCTTAAAATGATTTGGGTCTAGAACATTCAAGTCCACTCTAACTATCCCTGTGAGCCCTCTGCAGTTTACAGAGGATGGGTGTTATTTGCCCACAAGAGTCAAAACTTTAGCTCATGAGTTGTAGAAATATTCCAGTGAATTTAAATCCTTAAATGGGAGCACAACTATTTGGTTGACATCTATTAAACGAAAACGTGCTACGTGTCGCTTCTACACAGATTTGTTTTGTTTTTTTTCCAGATTTTGCACATCATGCTGCTTTAAAAGAGATTTAAAATAGCTAGAGCCAACTTTTGTGGTTCATTGATACTGGTATTTGCAGACACGGAGCTTGTTTGGGTGCCGAGCCAAGTCCTGCTATTCAAATAGGTGGAGAGTCAGCCTCTTGCTGCTGACCTTTTGACATTCCCCAGTAATGTGTGCCAGAGTTGCTGCTGGACTGGGATCAGACCTTCACCATTCCACAGTGGGGAGAATCAGCAGAGACCCTATTTCAGTTCCAGACAGCCAGCTACTCTGTGTGCTGCAACTGCTATAAATACCTCATTGCCCTGTGTAGTCCTGCTTACTAATAACGGGAGAAGACAGAGAGTGTTGTAGAGGCATAGAACAGATTTGACTAAATCTTCCAATTCAGTTCCTTGTTATTAGGGCCTTATTAGACTGTTTTTCTTTACACCCACTAGTCTTTGGAAATTATGTGTGATGCCCTCTTGCAGATCCTTGTGATCCCATGAGACTGGAACTGCAAAAAGCCAGAAATGGGAAATTCAGCCTCCAGCATTGACATCTTATTATTTTTTTTAATTGACAGTTGACTACTTTAAAGGTGACTGATTTGCAGTGATGTCAAAAGTGTACATTATGAAGTTCCAGTAGGGGTAGGTGTTGTGGATTTGAAGAGGTGGTGAATGGACAAGATGTCTGTGTCTCCTATGGAACAATCGGTGGATTTGGCTGGGTTACTGTGGAGTCAAAGCGGCACTGTCAGTTGGTTGAGTTGATTGTAGGATACATTCTCAGACATGATTCTGCATTCCCACAGGGGTGAAGTTGCTACCAGGTAAAACAAAAGTTGTTTTTCTTTTGCATAAACCAACCAAGAAGTGAACTGTGCCCTGGCTGTTGTATTTCTTTCTTCAATGTTATTTGTTATCTTTTGCTTCACTGGACATGATTGGTACCCAGTGCCCCAGGTCTTGGCTGTTAGCACTGGTCAAGCGCAGCAGCTCTCTGAGCCTCTGGAGGACTGTTTGCTGTGGAAGTAAACACTCAGTGCTTGTTCTTGGCGCACAGAGCAGGAAAAGATGGCAAATGAAATCAGAGATTTGGGAAACGATCGTTGGAAGTGAAAAATTGCTCCTACAAAGCTGTTGCCTTTAAACCTTAGATTTGACTATAAATCTCCCAGGTGGCCTCAGTGTACTGAATAGATTTGCAGTGTAGCCTCTAACAGTCTGTAATCTTTCTGTTCATGGTTAGTCATAAAATGAACCACTGTCTCTAGCATCTCTGCGAAGGAGAGTGGAATTCATTTAAGGGATTAATCTGAGTTTTGAGCAATTTGATTAGTATCCAGCTGCATAAGGCAACAGAAATGTGGAATTTATTATGTCTTAAAGGGAGCAGTGAGTTCATCCCTCATCTTGCCTTAACATGTTTTAACAAGTGTATAGATGGCACTGTCTGTTCTGTTTTATTAAACATAAGTGCTGTTTTAAAATCTATATATTTATATCTCTTTGTGTTACTTTGATTATAAAAAGTAGCACTTGGTAGCTGTTCATACTTTTAAAGGTTGTTTTTCCCTTTTTTTTGTCAGATCCCAAAACATCTGCAGAAGTGGATTTAGACAGTTCTGCTGAGTGGGAGATTAAAACCATCACCAGTGCACTGAAGTACTATCTAAGGTATGTGTTGACTTAATGAATTAATATCCATTTTGTATGGTTTATTTTATCATTCAAGAATTCCAAGACGTGCTGTAACAAGGCCTAGCCAAGCCACATACCATCATTGAAATGCAGCCAATTAGGAATAAGTCTGACATTCTTACCTGTCCTACAGCTGGGCCTTAAAGAGCCTGAGAGGAGGGTGGTGGTCAGAAGAAGCTGAAACATTTTTATGTCAAGTTTTTGATTTTATTTTGTGTGGCGTATGAACTCAAAGACAAGGGCAGCACATAACAGCAAAGCTATATTTTACATGTTCAACATTATTTGAAAAGAAAAATAAAAAAAATCCACTTAGTTGTATTTTTTTCCCAATATTTCTGAGGTGATGTGATGTGAGCAGTGATGTATCAGCAAAACGTGCAGTTTTGTTGTGGATTTAGGTAACTACGTTCTATAAGGTCATGGGCAACCCTGAAGCTTATTTGACATGATGGTCTTGATGAAAATTCGTTGTTCATTTAATGTTTTGACCATTAAAGAGATGAGGAATCAGTTCTTTTTAGTGCCTGTTATTATAAAAAAGGCAGAATTTCGGAATTCATTTTGAAAGTGTTTGTTATATCTCATATACAGTACAGTCATGTGAAAAAGAAAGTACACTCTTTCAATTCTATGGTTTTATAGATCAGGACATAACAAACAATCATCTGGTCCTTACCAGGTCCTAGAATTAGGTAAATCTAACCTCAAGTGACAAACAACACATAACCGATTCTACTATGGAATTATTTATTTAACAAAAAATAAGCCAACATGCAGAAACATGCAAAAAATGATTCAGGGGCTTGTAGAACCACCTTTAGCAGCAATAACTTGAAGTAATCATTTTCTGTATGAATGTATCAGTCTCTCACAACGTTTTGGAGGCTTTTGGCCCACTCTTCTTAACAACATTGCTTCAGTTCAGTGATGTTTGAGGGTATTCGTTTATGCACAGCTTTTATATGGTCCCGCCACAGCATCTCAATGGGGTTGAGGTCTGGACTTTCACTTGGCCACTCCAGTACCATTTTTTTCTTTTTCAGCCATTGTTGTAGATTTTCCAGTGTGCTTGGGACAGTGTATCATTGTCCTGTTGCATAACCCAGTTTCGGCCAAGCTGTAGCTGTCGGACAGATGGCCTCACATTTGTCTCTAGAATTATTTGGTATAAAGAGGAGTTCATGGTCGACTCGATGACTGCAAGGTGCCCAGGTCCTGTAGCTCCAAAACAAGCCCAAATCATCACCCCTCCACCACCGTGCTTGATGGTTGGTATGAGGTGTTTGTGGTGATACGCTGTGTTTGGTTTGGCCAAACATGGTGTTGTATATAATGACCAAGCATCTCCACTTTGGTCTCGTTTGTCCGAAGGACATTGTTCCAGAAATCTTGTGGTTTGTTCAGATACAACTTGGCAAACCTAAGTCATGCTGCCATGTTCTTTTTGGAGAGAAGGGGCTTCCTCCTGGCTACCCTTCCATGAAAGCCATATTTGTTCAGTCTTTTTCTGTCGTACTGTCATGAACTTTAACATTTAACATGTTAACCGAGGCCTGTAGATTCCTGGATGTAGCTCTTGGGTTCTTTGCGATTTCTCTGAGTATTATACGGTCTGACCTTGGGGTAAATTTGCTGGGATGCCCACTCCTGGGAAGATTGGCAACTGTCTTGAATGTTCTCCATTTGTAAATAATTCTTCTCACTGTAGAATGATGGATTTCAAATTGTTTGGAAATTGCCTTATAACCCTTCCCAGATTGAGCAGCAACAATGGCTTCTCTGAGTTCATTGCTGATGTTTTTTCTCCTTGGCATGGTGTTAACACACACCTGAATGCTCCAGACCACCAAAGTGCCAAAAGTTCTGCTTTTATAGAGGTGGTCACACTTCCTGATGATCAACCAATCAAGTGCATTTGGCTGCTAATTACCTTCTTAATTCCTATTGGAGCAGTAAGGGTGTACTTAATTTTTCCCACATGGTTTCTGCATTTTGGCTTACTTTTTGTTGAATAAATAATGACATAGTGAAATCTGTTGTGTTGTCTGTTATCTGAGGCTAGATTTGTCTAATTATAGAAGTTGGTGAGGACCAGACGATTGTTTTTTATGCCCTGTATGTAAAACTATTGAATTGAAAGAGGGTGTACTTTCTTTTTCACATGACTGTATGTGAAACCTTAGTTTTATTATATAGATTGTGAAGAAATAAAGCACATTATAATATGAGTGAATGTAATTTTTGGGGATATTTAATATGAAACACAAAGTAGTACAATTCTGCAGTGTGACTCTACCCCTTAAATTTAATTTTCCTTATTTCAAAGACATGTTTTCTCAAGGAATATTGGTGTGAATACATTATTTCTTCCTAAAGATTAAGATTTGTGTTACATTTGGTCTGAAATAGTTTTATGTGTATTGATGGGCTGTCCTCCAGAGAAAGAGAATCTTGAAGAATCACGCTAGTCTTCCTTTTTAAATCCTTCTTTTTCAGAATGTTGCCTGCACCTCTCATGACGTATCAGTATCAGAGAAGCTTTATCAAAGCAGCCAGTAAGTTGTTCTGTTTTTGAGTTCTTCTTGAAGGTTAAATGATTATTTTAACAGATCAAATGGTAGCTTTTTAAACCCACTGCTTGAGATGGTGTTGCATTACCTTTGTCCTCTGAGGTAGGGAAGGTTTTGCTTTGTGTTAAATTTGGCAGGTAATCGAGGAAGTGATTTAACTGTGTTGCCTCAAGTGATTGTATCACTTAAAGACAATCTTTATCTGCCAAGGCTCGTTTCATAGGGAATGAGCAATTAATTGCATGTTATTTTCTCCCTCTGGAATTGCACGGCATCCAGTAGTCACACACTCTGTGTCTGAGGTTAGCCTGTTTGAAAATGGCAAGGCAGTTGTCACACAATCACTGGTAATGTTAAATACCTGCAGTCAATCAGAGCTGTGCTGTTCAACAAACATATCTGTTTCCAGATGTTCTGTGTGAGACAGTTTCCCACCTGGACCAGATCTATGTCAGGGCATGTACTGGGAATGGCAGTGTTTGGTTTTCAGTGTAGAGGAACTTTGTTTTGTGCATTAGTTTATAGTCTATCTTTATCTAGGTCCTTCTCAAAGAGACCTGACATGTTTTTAATAGGTTCTTTGTTTGAATGGAGAATTATTTAAAAAATAGCTATTTTTTTCAGATGCAGGTGTTAATCTGACTACTTGCAATTTGAGTAAATCTGTTTGTAACCAACAACAGCGACCGGTTTATTGAATTGAATTAATGAAGGACTGACATCAATTTTTATAGAGTTCACTTCCCCCCATCCACAGATTGACCTTTCTAAATTTATGGTCACATTGCACTGAGAGTTCCCTGAGAGACACTTATCTTCTGCTTCAGCATTGCACTGCAGAGAGAATATTGGCTCTATGTCTGGCTAAGCAAACCAAACAAAGCTCACTTTAGGTTTCTTTAACTGCATAATTTTTGATGTTGTTAAATCATCTAGATGGCTTTATACATCAGACTAAACCTTTTTTGTTTTAAGATTTAGAAGATTAACATTTATCTTTAAATATCCATCTGCCCAATTCATTTTCTAACTGCTTTATTCAGGGTCACGGGGGAGCACTCTGGAAACTTTGGACGGATGGTACACATGGACACAAACACACACATGCTCACGCCAGGGCCAGTTTTCCCTACTTCTAAAAGCCAATGAATCTACCAATATATCTTTGAACTGTGGTAGGAAAATGGAGCACCCACACAAACACTGGGAGAACATACAAACTCCAGACAGATAGCACCCCAAGAGGTGAACCCAGGGCCACAATGTTTGAGACAGGAATGTTAACCGCTGTTACTCCATGCTACCCCTCCACCCTTTAATTGTCAGAATTGTTGATCTTTTTTTCCTTCATATTATTTCATTTTTATGTTAGAACTTGACAATCTGGAAGCACGCATCTCTGAGATTCACAGCATTGTTCACCGACTTCCTGAGAAAAACCGACAGATGCTGGAACTACTGATGAAGCACTTGGCCAGGTAAGAGCTGTAGATGAAGTATTTGTGTATCTACAAAATGTGCAACCCCCCCCACAAAATTCACACTTTGGTTTCCAGTGGTTTAAGTGAGTGTTATCAAGTGTTAATATGCCGGTAAGCAAGTAGGGAATATTATATTTTCTGGTTGTTTGTACAGTATGGGTAGTTTTTTCTTCTTTTTTTCATTTGATTACAATGGATACAGAAAAAATGTAAGACAAGGAGCTTTTTTGCACAATCCAGTCTGGTGTTTCACGCGTAAAAGACAACACCCTGTTTGAGTCTTTATCAACACAAAAACATAAAGAAAAAACAACAAAGAAAATTAGCTAAAAGGAAATCCAAATTTCACATGCAAAACAATTTAGCGAAATGTGGAAAACAGCTGCATGTATAAATCAGACGTCCACTTAGAATTCTGCATACATGTTGACCACATTATGCTGTAGACCCACCCTTGGAAACAAGCAAAGTACAAAAGTGCTGCATCTGTAGCACTTTTACGAGCACTTCCCGTCTCTAAATGTCATCAAGCAAGTCCTGGGCCGTGTCCAGACAGACTCTTTCCACCTCACATGAAAGAGCAGAGCAGTAGCAACAGAGATGCAGCTGGTTCTATGCATCGTTGTCATAGTGATGAGCCGACTGGTATGTCTGAAGCTCATCCCTGCCTCCCAAGATCTTGGACTCTCCCTGTTGTGTGCAGGTCCCTGAGATCTCTCAACACCACAATAAAGCCTCTCTTTCCCTTCTAGACAACCTTTAGATGGGATACCGCAGCTTCCAAGAAAATTACAGTGTAAAATTCAAGCAGAATTACAACATCATTATGCTTTAAGGAAGGGTGGAAACAATAAAGCTAGACACACCCTGATATTGTTATGGGTCTGATTGCAACTGACTGCAGAAAAGTATTTAAAATATTGGTCGAAATGTGTTTTTATTCTTATTTTCTACCTTTTATCTTTCAAATACAAATATATCTTGTATTTGTTAATAATATTTCGCAAAGAGGAGTACTGTATATGCTTTAAGTGTTTTAGTGGGTGTTTGTTGTAGAGAGTCGTAGACAAAATATTTAGTGCCTTAAGCTGTTTTCCTATTGGTTCCTTTTATAGCTCACAGAATCAAGTGATCACATTGGCAAAAAGTGTACAAAAGGTTCAAGTTGTGTTTTCAATTACAGCAAACATTTCATACAGTAACTCATATAAAAGGAATTCCCCATTTATCATTAAAATCCATCATCCTAACATTGTAAAACATATATAGTGTAGTAGTTTAAAAAATGTGCTCTTAATGGATTTATGGATATTTTTTTGTCTGATATAACACCCACATAGAAATCCATGCAGTATTTTTTGATGTAGTTATGTATTTGGTTTTACTTTATGTAATATAATGCCAAATATATTTTCTCTTAAATCTTCATGTTATTATATAGCATTCCCTTCCTCAAAATTAAATACTGTTTTGTGGTGTCAATGGGCAAAGATGGGGCAATATTCTGATCCACAAAACAGATTCTTTACAATTAGTAGAAAAATAAATATTTGGTTTCCCCATACGGTTAACATTGGATGTTTCCTTTTCCCATGTCCAGTGTGGCAGACCACCATCAGCACAATCTGATGACAGTGGCCAATCTTGGAGTGGTGTTCGGGCCCACACTGCTCAGACCCCAGGAGGAGACTGTCGCGGCCATCATGGATATCAAGTTCCAGAACATCGTAATCGAGATCCTCATCGAGAACCACGAAAAGGTGAAGGGACCAGGCTAAACTAGAGGATCGGGGCCTGTCGTGTTTGTTTGGAGATATACACGTGACAGACCTGCAGATGAAAGGCATACGCTGTAGTCATTCTTCTACCATTTATTATTGAATTTCACTTCCTTTTGAATTTAAAGTGATTTTTTTTTAAAAAAGGAATAATTTTTCTCTTGTTTTCATCAATAGTTTTTACTTCTAGTTCATTAGTTACATTCTTTCAACAACATTGAATCTGCAAGCCTGTTATTTTTAAGTGCATGGACACATTATTTTGGGCAGCACAGTGGTGCAGTGGTTAGCATTGCTCCCTTACAGCGCTGGGGCCCTGGCTTCAATTCCTGGGGTACTATCTGCATGGAGTTTGTATGCTCTTCCCTGTTGGCAAGAGATTGCTCTGGGTGCTCTAGTTTCGTCTCACAGTCCAAAAATATGCTGACAGGTTAATTGGCTTCTGGGAAAATTGGCCCCGGTGTGAGTTTGTGTATGTTTGTGTCTGTATGTGCCCTATGATGAACTGGAAGTCCTTTGCAGGGTGTTTCCTGTGTTGCGCCCATTGCTTTCAGGGAAACGCTTTGGCTCCCCCTCAACCCTGAATTGGTTAAGTGGTTAGAAAATAGATAGCTGGTTGGCAGTATTTCTGCTTGGTGACTTTTGTTTAACGGCCCTTTTTAGGACATGTCCCTCATATGTAACATGGTGCTTAGTTATGGGTCCACTTTGCTGAACGCATCACAGATTTACCTTTTTTTCTCCGCTCTGCTGTTATGTGTAACAAAGTGACACAACATAGAAAAAGATCTTATACCTTGGAAGGAGAGAGCTTATTTTTTTTCTTTTCTCAGATTTTCAGCACTGCACCCAACCCCAGTACGGCGCAGGTGAATTCGCAACATCCGCTGCCACGGCGACGCAGTGCCGAATGCAAACCGCCCTCCTGCAGTGAGAGACCCCTGACGCTTTTCCACACCCCACCGCCCACTGAGAAAGGTCAGTCCTGGGGTTAGCTCCCGAGACACTCTCTCTCTCATCTGCTAGTTTCAGAGAGGTCTGCTAATCAAAACAACCCCCAGACAGCAGTCTGCGTTTTAGTCAGTTAAGGGCATGTATGGATGACATTTTGAGGATTGAAAATCACAACAAGCCCAAAATACATGGTGAGCAGTCAGTGTTTGAGGTGTCTGAAGCGCATTATGTCCTTGCTTATTCACCCACACACCTCACGCCAGTGATAATCAATGTCACAACATGGGCTTCTGGATTCAGGTGAATGCATGGTTTGTGTGCATCCGTTTTGTTTGTTATGAATGTTTTGTGATTGTGGCCCTCATCGTCACAAACACACAAAGAGTTTGAAACCATGCATTGTATAATCGAGGGTTTGGATAATTGATGTTCTGATGTCATTATTACACTTACATGGAACAGTCTGTATTGCATGAAATTCACAACCACAACCCACCTCATAGAATCCTGCTTTGTTTATTTTTGTTTTTTATGCTGGTTGTAGAGAAAAGAGACAGCGTGTTAAACTCCAGCGCAGAGTCTATTGTGACCAACTCATCCAATAACTCCAACTGCACTCAAAAGGCCAAGCTTAACAGTCTCAACTGTAGCGACCCTGACTTGGATACAGTCATGGGGAGACAAAACAGACCCAACTCTCTGTGAGTACACTATTTCTGGTTTCTTTATTTAAGAGAGAACTCTTCTTCCCTACAGGAAAAATAAAATGAGGTAATCCTGGCCTTTTATGACTTCTTTGCTTTTTAAATAACTTCCTTCAGTTCTGAGCAGTCGTCTGAGGTCTCAAATGGTTACCTCATGAACATGTTAAGAAATTTATTCTGTGTTGCTCGCCAATTACAGTACTTGCGAAGGGCTATTTATGTGTCCTTGATTAAAACATAGCTGTGTCATGAAATAGCAAAGTAATGGATTGTGAAAACCCTGACATTGTACTTGCTTGAAATGCAATTAGTTCCATTCCATTAGGGACCGTATGAGATGAAATTGAGAAGAGTGACCCAAGGAGGCTCAGAGTAACTGAGTGTGTGTGTTATGACTTCAGTTGTATCTACAGAAAGGCTCTCATCAGCATCTGATACCCGCACCGGAGTTAATAAGAGTAAATAGCACATTCTGTAGCCCATAGCTTAAGTGGATCTTCTTCAAATCAGCATCTGTGTTCTTCAATCTTTTTTTAAGATGCTAGAAAAAAAGGTAAACCTAGATATTCTCAAAAATGACTCATCTAAAGGGTACTGTAATTTACAATGCAAAACAGTGGCCTCTTTATGGATCATTCTTGATGCATAAATAAATGAGTAGAAGTGACATTTTTTCTGTAGTGGATGTACAATATGTTGCTTAATTGTTTGACTCAATTTACTACACGCCTTTGATAAAAGTAAGACTCATTAATGTACACCAGGCTTTTTCAGTCATCTTAAGCTATCTTTGAAACACCCACAATTAAAATTTGTTTGGATGCATTTGTAGATGGACCCATACTTTCATTTTCTAACCACTTCATCCAATTCAGAGGGAGTTGGAGCCTATCCCGGCAAGCAACAGCTACAAGGCAGGCTACAATCTTGATGGGATGCCAGTCTATTGCAGAGCACAAACAGACATAAACACATACTCACACTGGGGCCAGTTTTGCTAGAAGCCAGTTACCCTACCAATATGTCTTTGGACTGTGAGAGGTAACCCACAAAAACATGAGAACTCCACGCAGAGAGTGCCCCAGGTCTGGAATTGAGCCCGAGGTCCCAGCACTAACCATGATAACCACTGCGCCACCATGCTGTTCACAATGTGACGCATGAGGCATAAATATGGGATTCTTTCACAGGACCCTTTTAATGCAAATAAATTCAATACATTTACTTTTTCAATTTTTGGCCAGATCAATGTTGCAGATGATTTACCACCAATAGGAGTCATTCTGACCCCTACAGTGCTGGGTCATGATCTGGTGCTTTAAAGTTTTCTTTTCTCATTTTAGGCGTCTTTTATATTCTATTTTGTTGTTGACATTTTAAAGGACAACTGTAAAAAATGACTTGATTTATTCCCCGGGATAAATACAAACCGGCAATAAAAGCCCCAAGTGAGTCAGCATTCCTCTGTTGTCTTGGAATCTTCTATTAAAATATTTCCTTTCCCACCGCTACACATAGAAGAGAGATGAGTCACTGTAAGGACAAATCAAGACACGTTTCCAGACGTTTAGAGAAAAATAAAAGCCTCTTGTTTTCAGTTTTGCTGTCTTTTTTTTTAAATTCCTCATTCTTGGAGCTTGCACATCCCAGACAGTGATAAAATGAAAAAGATTGTGGCTTTTCAGGCTATACACAAGGCTCATCACTAGAAATTGGGGGGATAGGAAAGAATGAAGTCTGCACTTACAAAGCAATCCCGCCCAAGAGATGCATAATGAGAATGTCTCTGACTATTAATGATCAATCACTACATCTGTAGTCTCTCTCCTTTCTGCAGAGATAGAGAAACAAGAAAGATAAAGGAAATTAGAGGACATGAGCAAAAACCACAGAACAGGAAAAACAATGTAATCTTGATGGGACAAAATATTAATTTTTAAAGATGCAGGTTTTTTTCAAAAACATTAGACACAAAATAGCATATACAACTATGTACTTGTTGTAATCTTGCCTTATACACCTTTTTGTATACATGTTTTTTGCTAACATGTCATTTCTACTGTATATCTGCTCTGAACTGGATTCATACTCTTAGCCTTTGAAAGTTTATTTTCAATTTTACAAATGTGTTATGCAGAAAAGGATAGGATGCTGCTAGAAATCAAATGCTAATCTGTTATTGGATGAATCTGTGAATCTGCTTTATCATGCAATGATTTCCAGTATTTTAAAATTCTGCAATTATATTGGACAGAATGAACAAGAGTCATATTTGTGTGCCACCCTGAGTATCAAGCATTTAAAATAATATTTTAGTATCAGGGAATTAGTTTGAGACAGCAGATTCATTGGGTTTCAGTGAAGAACTGACACCACCTAGCATTTTCTGTCTGGGACCCAGTAGTTGTGAAACAGGTATAATAAGGTAAGATTTAATTTGGCTGCAAAACAAGGTTGCACATTTAATAACGCTCTTAGGGCGCAGTGCCGAAAAGCACAAAAAGGTAAGGCTAGGTATAATTTAATGACAGTGTGAGAGATTGATGGGGACTGCTAAGCCTGAGTGTGATTTAATTATAGGTGCAGAGAAAGGTGGCAGTGGGAAGCTTAGGTTTCAGAGAAGCTGAGCAAAGTATCTGCTCGCGAAGGACGACAGAGATTATGAATTCCAATTAAAAGTCTTCAGCCGAAACTAGCTAGCGCCAAGTAAATATCTCAAAAGTATTGCCTTTTGTTTCAAGAAAAGAACCATGTCACATTTCTCTGCAACTGACAAATCATATCTGCCGAATGCAGGAGTTAAATGCAGATGAAAATAATACCTCTGAAAGCCTTTGACACTGATCATTCTAATATGTTCCATTATTAATAATGGGATATTAATAATATTGATCTTGGCACATCCTGTGGCTGTCATTAAAAACCAGACATCCCCAGTTGCTTGTGTGTGGACACCCTCACTCACAGAAGAAGCTGCAGACGTCCTATTTATAGGCGTGAACAGCAGCACTGCATGATTCTGGGGTCACTGTTACTTGACACCTTGTGTGAATGAAGTGTTGTTTGCTCTTACCTTCTAATGATCTGTAGCTGGTGTTTGTCCAGCTCTAAACTGACTTGTGGATGTAGCCAAACCTGCTGAAGATTTTCCAGCTGCTGTAACTGTACTGAGAATGGAGAAACATCTGTGGGCTTTAATAACAAACAATCTATATACGTATTTCAGGGTAATGTCTTTGGAAAAAGTAATTTGTCCTTGGGTTTCTTAACTCCTGTAGTAGACATTTTATGATGTTTTTTCCTTTCTACTCCATAATTAGTTTTTAATAAAAGTCGTGACATATACTAATATGCAGGTTTTTGGTTTATTGTACTGAATCACTCAATTGTGGGTATTTAAAGGCTTTGTCTAGGAAGTGCATTTATTCATCACCTCTTTCAATCCAATCCCCATTCCTTCACAAATATTTCCTTTCACAGTGTCGGAGTTAATACCATCCTCCAGTTTCATCAGACAGAAGAATTTTTTTACATCTTTGTGTCCAAAAAAAGGGAACTGTTTGAAAAGTGCTGTACCTGGAAGGTTCTGTGGCTGTTCTGCTTCCAGAAGGTTTGTTGTGAAGATCACTTGTTTTGACGGTCGGTGGCTGAGGGCTGTAAAAAAAAAAAAAGTTGCCAAGAAATTAGATCATTTATAGAAAATTTAAATCTCACAGAAATGAAAGTGAAGAGGGAGGGGGGGATTCATTATTTTGTTGAATCAGAAGTTTGTTTCTTTCATGAGGCAATTAAGGTTTTTGTGTTCTTTTCCTCTTGAAACACGGTGTCTACGAGGGAGAGTATGAGGGCCTGGACGAGGGTTTGTGTAGAATAGCTGGTAATCGAGGGCTGGATTTTGCCGATTTTGCACAAAAAGTAGGAAAATGCCAGGGAAGATAAGTGATTGGAGGAAGAGAGGTTCTTGGCAGTGAAGGAGGGTGATAAAGTGGTGGCAGTCAAGAAAAGTCATAAAGAGAGGTCCATAAAGGGGGAAGAATAGGAAGGTGAAAAAATGTTACATTTTGAAGATTGAGTTTAAGATGATGGGTTAATTCAGTAGGAAATGGCATTGAGACAGGCAGAGGCATTGGAGGAGGTATAAATGTTGATGGCTGGAAAGAAAAGAAAGTTTGAGTACTATATCCAACCATCCACTTTCTAACCACTTCATCCAGTTCAGGGTTGCGGGGCAGCCACAGCCTTTCCCAGGAAACAGCAAGCACAAGGCAAGATACTCCCTGGATGGGACATCAGTCCATTGGAGGACACACATTGACACACACTCAGACACACTCCCACCAGGGCCTGTTTTCCCAGAAGCCAGTTAACTTACCAATATATCTTTGGGTTATGTGAGGAAACCAGCACAACTGGAGAAAAGCCATGTGAACATGTGGTGAATGTACAAACTCCATGCAGATAGTACCCCAGGAATTGAGCCCAGGTCCCCCAGCACAGCAAGGCAGCAATGGTAACCACTGTGTCACCATGCTGCCCCATTATTCACATAAAAAATAATAACAAAAAGGAGCTGTGTTTAGAGCCCACAGGAAAGGGATTTCTCATATTAATAGGGCTACTCTTGAGCAGTTGGGCTATTGGAGTTGGTGCTAAGTAGCACAACACTTTAGTATTGTTCTGAGATAGTATCCACAGGGTCGTGGGAAAGGGGGTGAGGATAGAATATACAGTAGGAAACATCATGAATGGGACCCAGGACAGAAACCTGTGGGACACCAGTGGACAGATAATAAGAAACAGAGAGTGAGTCTCTCCAGGATGCTGTGATTCATTTCAGCCTAGTCTCATAGGTACAGTACATGAACAACACATTATGTGCCTCGTGGGTCTCAATGAATCCTATTAGTTTACCATCTATTTGTTGTCCTTGGGTAAGGTACTGAAATATGGCATCCTTACTTTTAACTTGACAGTGAGTCTGCTGCTTATTTCATGACAAAGGTTGAAAACTATGGGTTACCAAGGCTTTTCTGTCTATGCGTCTAAACCTGTGTCCATATGAACCTTGTCTTTCAGGTTACATTTATGTAGAGACCTTACATGATTAGCTTGATGTGTGTTATTAGATATGTAATCTTGTAATGAAATGACACTCAATAAATAAAATATACAGTAGTTGATTGGTAACGAGTGTGACCGCCATCAATTCTGAATCTCCTCAGGCTTACAACTTCACTGTAATGATTCAGAGATTAGGACTAGTGACCTTTCTGTATTGACATCATTACAGTTTGATGTAAATCAAGAGAATATTTATTCAGTGATCTGTAATGACATTTCTACTCTTTCACACATCGTGGTTCGCTTCCTAACAGCTGTTCTTCAGTCCCACACTTCCAGCATGCACTAGTGCTGTACACAGAACATGCCACTACTTTTGATCTCTTAGTTTATTTAGATTATTTTTTGTTGGCTGTGTCCAATGTTGGATAAGTGTGACTCATACATATGAAATGGCTCACATGTACAGTAATTTACATTCGATTTTTTCTCAAGACAGCTTTCTTCTTGTTATTTCCCATGATTCAGTCACAAAAAAAATGAAGTATCACTCTTATCACTTGGAATTACACTTGTTTTGATTAGAGTTGTGTGTTAAGTACAGTATCAAGTTGAAGTTGGCAAAAAAAATAAATGAAATGCAATTAACAGTGTGTAAGTCACGTACAGTACATACCTAACAGGGAGAACAAGCTTCAGTGAAGTCCGGGGGCCACCAAACTACTGACTTCAAGAGAAACTGGAAAATTCAGGCGTTAAAGGATGGTGGTTTTTCTTTGGCCTAAGTCAAGCCCGCAGTGGCACAGTGAAATGCAGAGGTTGATCTGCAAGTTTTTTCATGACCAATTCTCTCTTGGTTTGTCTCCTTCCCAGGGTGCTGTGGCCGAAATATGCCACGCTTTCGGGTGCCTTTCGCAAGAGGTGACAAGTAAAATTTCAGGTTTTTTTTGGGTGGAAGAGCCATGTGGCTTTCTATTTCTGCACAAAATGGTGGAGGTCACACAGCTCAGTCTTGGCTCCAGGGCCACTGCTGCTGTCTGGGGGTCTGCTTAGGCACTTTGGGCTCGTGACTGTGGCGCATCCTGGAGAGCTATAGGCATGGTGTGGGCAGATGCCTTCACATGGAAGTGTAACGTGAGTTTTCTGTGTGGGAAGCTGTGATTCATTTCAGCCTTGTCTCATTCATGTGGCAGACGAAGTTAAAGACGCAGTGTCTCTTTTCTGAGATTATTAGCCCAACCAAAAGCAGTGCAAAGGTATTAATAATTTGAGAGAGGGCTGGGGAATTTTAATTGATACTGTGATGTGAAGGCAGTGGAATTTCCTTATTAAAATTTCTAAGCCATTCTAACATTTTCATTAAAAGAAAAACTATATCCCCAGTGATCTGATTGTGATGTGTATGGATACCCTTTTGTTTCATTCATTTATCTCTGATTAATAATTGCAGTCTTTCAGAGCTGCCTGTTTCATTGCTAAACAAGTCAGGAACAGTTTATATGGCTCAGTGGTGTGGAATTTATGATCCTGGTGGATTGCACTGAGAAGATTTTTTTTATAAAACAACTGGGGAAAAATGCATGGTAAATTTATTGTCAAGCAATACTGTTATTTTACTGTGACCTTGTTCATTAATAGATAGAAAAATAAATCCAAAATGCTGTGCATAACAGTCAAAAGAGATTTAGATCTAGATCCTTTTTATAGAGCCTTAACATTTGACTGAGAAATCCAAAAGTATACTGAGCAACAAAAAATAAACTTGCCAGTCTGTGCATTGATATATATAGAAAATAAATGTTACAAGTTTTGGATATTGATTAAATGTTTTTAATTTTCAGTATGTGATCATTCTCAACTGACTGTGATACTTTAGATTGAGTTTGACAGTTGCATAAGATTTATATTACCTCATTATTAAGATAGTGATGAGGTGATTTAACCCATTACATGTTCTGCCTAGCAAAAGTCAAGAAAGAAAAACAATACGTCCCATTAATTAAGAGAGCAATGCCTTCATGCTATTGCTATGTTGTAGCAACAGAATGAATCAAGGCTTTATGTAGGTGAGACAGATGGATGTCAGCAGGTGTTGTACAGATGGGCTTGACCATATACTGTGATCATTGCTGTGTACAATAGACTGATCACTGGTGAGGTTCAAGTGTGATGACCTGGGCAGGAATGTCTAGTTGTTGCAGAACTTCACTTGTAGTGATTAAAGGCATGACATTGATCAAGCTCTGAGACACCACTTGCTTCCCTTCCTTGTGAACTGATAGTGTAACATGTGCAGAATGCTTGTGAATGCCCTGCTTGTTCCACTGAACATTTGTGGGATGTCCTAGCATGACATATGGGGCCAGTGAACCTGGACCTGCTTATCCAGGCTTTACAAGAGTAAAGGGACAGAAGCTCACAAGACAGCGTGCAAGCAGATGTACAGCTTGTGTTCCAGTGGTGCCTACACACGCTACTGGCTTGTGACTTTACAAGTAGATGCACTGTTGATGACAACTTTTGATCCGTGATTTGCAGAGTGAATTTTGTCATGTGTGTTCCAAAACATATATTTTTTTGCAGTTGTGAGAAGTTTAATTTGATGCTCTGTGTATTTTCAATTGCTCAAACATTGAAAAACAACTTTCGTGCATTTTTTGCTTTCTGCAAGGACTATTATAACAGGGCTTGACAAAGGGTATCAAGTTCTTAAATGTTTCTGCTAGAAAAAATCTTGAAGTTGACCATCAGTCACTTGTATTCACAGAGATGATTCATTAATTTGTTCTCGGATAACAGAGGAGAATGGGATGCTTTCTCAGTTCTTTGCATTGTTTGGTTTAATCAGAGGAAATGGGACACTGCTGCTTTAAGTCTTTAATACAATTCATTGAATTGAATTGGTAATCTGGGGGAATATTGTGATATTTTGCTTTGGATAATGCTCTAATTGCCAATAATGAATGCTTCTTAATCAGACATGAGTTTTAATTTTGTTGAAATGAACAGGGTGCATATGCAAAAAAAAGTTATGCCTTTGTGCAAAGACTTAGCCATTTATTTTTCTCAAGTTCATAACATGTACTTTACTGCTAAGGGCATTAAAAGAAAGGTAGGATTTAAAATTGCATTAGATTACATAGTATGTTGCGGAGCTTTGATTTTAATTTCGTTTTTCAACATTTTGGTGACATGGGAAAATGTGTTTTCTAATTTAAATTTTGGCATGACTTCTAATTTGTTAAATTGGACTCCTATGTACTGCCATGTACAAAAATAACTATTCTAAATGTCAATCCACTGGTGTCTGATGTGGCATAGAGATCTTTTTGTCACTATAGGCTCTATATTTTATAAGGTGGAATACCTACTGCTGATGACTAATGCTAAGGTCATTGTGAACGCTAGTGAATGACCTACATTGAAAGACAGGGGCCATTTTTGATAAGTACAGTGCTATTTTTACATCTGGCAGTGCACAACTGAGACTCTGCAAAAAAAAAAGCACTGAAGTTGGGACATGTCATTTGCCATCATATTAACAAAGCAGCTCATTTTCTTGGGTTTGATCTCCCGCAGCACATGGATGGTTTGTAAATACTCAAAAAACGAAACAATATCATAACAAGGCCAGTGTAGTCTTAAAGTGGTAGTGCTCTAATTTTTCAAACTTGAAATATGTGTATAAAAACAATTACATAGAGGTGAGAACTAAATATGTCGAAATACGAAATTTGTCACATCAGTGATGGGGAGGTAGCTGCCTCTTTAAAACAATTAATTTGGTAGCTGATGTTATACTGTACGTTGAAGACCACAGAGTAAAATGCACCATATGGTTAGAGCTGAGTGGAAAACTTAGTTTTACTTCTATTATTCAGTGTTAATGTGGTTTTCCTCTTCCTTTTAGGTTGAACCCAAAGAACAGATCAAGTGTCCCACTAAGGTATGACTGGTTTTGCTCACTGCTCATTAACGAACAGTACATCATCTGTCTCACACCTGAAGAAGACTCCACGGCCGAAACGTTGTGTTTTCTCTCTTTTTTTTTCAGCATGGAATAAACCTATTACTTGTTCCTTTGCAGCCTACGCATGCTGACGCAGCTACCCACCTGAACTAGTACATTATTTATGTTAATGTTCCGTTTCATTTGGGTTGTTCTTCTTGAAGGGTGCTTTAAAATAAATTGTTAGCCATCCTCAATGATTGATGTGCAAAATACCTCTTCATTCATGCGGCTGTTAAAAATGTACAAAAATGCCTTAATGTTATAATTTGGTCAGTTGCAGCGCATGCTGGGAAGTGAATTTAATTTATACTCTTGTTGGAGAAGTGTGCACATTCTCTTCTTGCTAATGATGGGTGCACAAAGCTTCTGAATGAACAGCTGCCAGTGTCAGCAAGGGTCCGGCAGACGAAGTAAGGTTCTGACTGATTTTCTAGGTTAAAAGAATTGCTTTCGCAAAACCTGAGGAGGATGTTTTAGCTACCTTGTGACAAGTCCTGAACAGTGGAGCTCCTCAGCTTGCTCAAGAGGATTGGAAGTTACACCTTCATTCTACATTCATGTCTCTTAGTTCAGCTCCCTTTATACTGCAGTTTACAGACATAGTGCTGTGCTGTCTCTCTTGAGTCCATCTGGGCTGGTCCAACTTCCTGGCCAAACCCAACGCTGGGCAACAAGGTATCGGGATATGACGTGTGAAGCAGTTTTGTTGTGCATGAGCTGCCAAGAGGTCTCGTGGGGTTTGCCTTGAATGAAATAGTTATTCCTACTCTAATGACGTTTCTTACATCCTAGTTGTGCTTTTCAATTCTTTAGCATTGTGTCTCCCAGATACTGTAATACTGTAGCAACGAACTGAGCATAAAATAGGTTGCTGTTTCAACAGATCTAAATCCATAGAGACATTTCTTTTGAATTTATATTTCAATGTAGTGTCATACATCCACCTTAACCATACAGCCTCCTTAACCAATTGTCTTCAAAAACCTTCACACTAGACCTGTACATTTTGATTAAGTAAAGATGATAAAAAGTAGATGCCCGAAATGCAATTTCTTCTAGGTATTGCTATGGTTTTCATTTTTAACCCCTGTGTCATGCATTTCAGTGTAATCAGAAGACACTGTGTACAAAGACCCCTTTTAGTCTAATTTTGGATGGTATTTTTCAGGAGGGACAAAAATAAGATAACATCCATTTAATCTACTTTGATCCTCAAGCTTAAAATCTATATAACCTAAAGAGCATTTAAATTAGTCTGTCTGGTTTTTCTGCGCTTTGACCCATAAACATTTATTTAATTTCTTTTTACTGCTTGAATTGCTAAAATGCCGTGGGTTGTATATGACAATTAAAAGCAGTGAGAAGTATCCTTTGGACTTCCTTCTCTGGGTAGTGTTGGGGTTAATTAGAAAGGGCTAATAGCAAATACGATTCTAAGGGAAGAACAAAACTTCCTGAATATCAGTATGGGAAGTGTCCTTATCCGACATAATACAAACTTCTATAATTTGAGAGATAAGAGATCTGATTATAAAATTAGCATTGCATACTCAAACAAATGGGAAAAAATGTATTTTTTATTATACTGCTTTATAACAAAATAAATGCTGTTATAATGCTTTATAACAAAATTAACTATTTTTTTTTGTAGTTCAGTAGTATTTGTCAGGGAACCTCTAAGGTTTTGTAATGCAGGATAGAGGTTGGTATAACACTAAAAACCACTTTGGTGCTTTGAGGAAGATTGGAGGGAGCATAAAAGATGTGAATTTTGTACAGTAGGTGGCTGGAAAGGATTTCAAGGGCATTGTGTTTGATGGCAAAATACTACTCTGAAGCTTCTAACAGCAATTGGAAATAGATGCTAAAATTCAGTCATTGAGTATGTTTTAGCACAGCAGTAACAGATGCTGTTCGGGGACAATTCCCAGCTTCCTAGCTTTACGAAACCTCAGCTTTTGTTATCTTGACTGTATTTGCTGCACACCACACAAGCGGTAACTATTATTACTTCTCAGCATCTTCACAAACTACCTTAGTAAAAGAGGTTTGGTCCTAAAAGTCTGAAAAAAGTTGCTGCTTGCTGTTGTTCAATTGCCGGAGTTGAAACATGCCAAGCTAAGAACGGACAAGCACCTGCATTACACTCTACGCAGGTGTACAGTGCCAAAGTGCTGTGAGGTGGTCGGTCACTCAGTGCTTTATCTGTCTCTCTCAGCCCGGTCTCTCCCAGCTCCACCTCGCCACGCTCCCCCTCCTGGCCGATGTTCTCTGCACCTTCCAGTCCGGTGCTGGCGTCTTCTACTTCCAGCGACTCCTCTCCGGTCAGGTGAGTCCCTCTGTCGTGGTACCTGGCTGCAGGGCTCTTCACAATAACTGCCATCACATGTGGTGGCCAGCTCTTCAGTCTCATCCAGGGAGACCCTGATTCAGAGTACTTAACACACATCGCGGATCAAAAACTTCTTTGTCTATTGCACCCGTCCCTCAATTTTTAAATCTTTAGATCTTTAGGAGATTAAAATTCCCTTTACTTTACATTTGTAAAGACTTGTCCTATGTTGCAGAGATGTTCAAAATCGCGCAGTTACTTGTTTTTACCCTAACAGAGCACTGCATCATCAAAGTAGGAATGCTATTGCTTGTTGGCGATTGTTAATTACCATTACCTATTAGTGTGGTTAAGATGATTAGACAAGATAAAACGTAAAGAACATACACTAGGTGCACTGAGGCACTGTAGTGGGAGGTGAGTTTATGAGGTTTGCATCTTCCATTCTGCGACAAAAGATGCACTTTTATTGTAGTAAAAATCTCTTAGTACAAAACTATACACAGAACAGTTTTGAAAAGTCACACTTTTTATAATAAAAATTCATAAATTGGGTTTTAGGGTGGAGTGTATTTATTTTCCATATTGAACATACAGTACCTGAGTGTTGCATTGTAATTTTTCGCATTTTGTTCCAAAAATTTGAATATTTACCTCAAGATAACATAATAGTAGAGCATCAAGAGAACCTAGCTTTATAGTTTATGTGAAGACAGCGTTTGGCAATGTAAATGGCCACCTGCTTATTACAGAAGAGACTCTTTTCTGCCAGTGTCTGTTTTTGACATAAAATTTGAGTGGGAAATGATTGTAATCATATACTGTATTGAATGAAGAATTTTGTAATTGCACATTGGCACTTTTATTTTAAGTTATGTTCACTCTTTAGTGTTGGTAGTTTTTATTTTTACACTCCAGGGTATAATTTCTTAGTGATTCACCTTGTTGTTTATGTGGTTGATCATAGACACTTATGATGTTCTGTACTGTATTTAAACTCAGTGGTTACTTCAAATGTTTTCAGAACATTGAAATACACTCTGCCACTTCAAGTAAACCTGGCTGTGCAGATTGGGTATTTCAGATTAGCCTTTTCTCGCTTGTTCTCCCTTTAGACAAAGAAATGTATTTTTGGAGCTTAGTAGTCCTGTCAATACATCCAAGCACAACAGAGCCAGAAGGCATTTCTGCAGTATACTGTTAAAATTGAATTTGTGTGTGTGGTTACCAGCTGTTTCATTTGGTACATTCCAGCTACTGGTGAATTATTTTCCAGGCATTTTTCGTTCTATATAGAGATTACAAAAAATGTGAAATGTGTTAGATAGCTTCGTCTCTGTTTTGGTTTTGCAGCCCAACAGTTCGGAAGGCTCGGGCTCTGTATGCCTGTAAAGCAGAACATGACTCGGAGCTGTCTTTCACGGCGGGCACCATATTTGAAAATGGTGAGTTTCCTTGGCAGATGTGTCAAGGCCAAGAGCAGTGGTCAAACGGCTTCTTCTGCATGAACAAATATTCAGTGCCTAATTGACCTCCAGACTCTGTTGTGTAGTAGCACATTTCAAGTATATATTTCAGTTCCTGCATTTACATTTGCATTCACTTTCTCCATTAATATTTCAGCATTAGATTTTGAATTCTCTTTATAGGTCATCATTATTTTTTTGACAATATATTGTCATTTGGCATTGACCAAATGAGTCAACCCAGAGGACTTTTTAAAAAATGTACAGTGAGACATGAAACGGAGGATACAAATGAAAACTGTGTGGAAGTGTATTTAAAAGAAAAAATAGGAGGCACCTGATTACCCAGAGGGTTGTGGGAGTATGGAACTACTGTACCACAAATTGATTATCCCCTCTTCTTTGTTCAGATGCTTCCAGTCCTTAACAAAGTAAATGTTCATAAGAATTATATATTGGCACAGTATATAATTGTTAACAGCACTGGGTCAATTCCGGGGGTCCTGTCTGCGTGGAGTTTGCATGTTCTCCCTGTGTTTGTGTGAGATTCCTCTGGGTGCTCTAGTTTCCTCCCACAGTCCAAAAACATACTGGGAGATTGATTGGCTTCTGTGAAATTGGCCCCGGTATGGGTGTGTGCTTGTTTCTGTATGTGTGCCTGTCCAGGGTGTATCCCAGTTTGTGCCTGTTGCTTGCTGGGATAGGCTCTGGCTCCCCCATGATGTGTTGGATAAAGAGGCTAGAAAATTGATGGATATTCTTCTTCACTGGGCCAATTGCCATGATTCCCTATGTTACCTCTGCTCATTATTATGGGATAGACATTATTAAAGTGGTACAGAAGCAGCATGCTGAAACTGAAGGAGCTCTGGATTGTGCCAGTGTAGTTGACCGCATGTACAGTATACAGTTATATTTGCTGAAAACAGGAGGCAGAATCCTAAACCCGGGTCCTAAATGGACTGCACACTGCGCTTGACATCCAAAGCAGTGGATTCAGTGTTAGCATGTCGCCACACTGGGACACCAAAGAGAAAAGGCGCATTTATCAAAGCAAACCTCTTCAAGAAACAGATGCCTCGTGTGAGAGAGCAACAAACGTTTTTCCAGACATTGGTTTCCTTTTTATCCTAATTGAGAACAGGCCTGACCACAAACCTGCTGTCCAGCATGCTGAAAAGTGTTTGATCTGAGTTCTGTGCTGGGCTGCATCTGAAAGCTTTCTCTGTTCTCGGGATGCTTTTTTCCCCACAGTTCATCCTTCACGTGAGCCGGGCTGGTTGGAAGGCACTCTTGAGGGGAAGACTGGATTAATACCGGAGAACTATGTGGAGTTTGTATAGCCTTAGCATTGAGCTGACACTGCTGCTGTCTCAACTGTGCTTACTGCAGTGTGGAGGAGGGAACACAACAGCAGAGGTCTGGCCTCTCCTGATGCTGCTGTAGGAGGTCTGGCCCATAGAAGAAGCACAATGGGACCAGTCTGCAGCTATATCTGCCTGTCTAGCCGAGGAAGGGAGGCTGTGTGTGAAAGAGCAAGCACACATCCAGTAATGTGCACTGCCTTTGAGGAGGTGATGCTGTAGAAGGCTCAGATTCTTCTTTAGTGGGTGGAGTGCCTGTATTTCCATTTTCTCCCGATCAGCTGAAGAGGAACTTCACAGGAGTTCTCCTTTGTCATATGTCAATGGCCTTATTTATCAGATGTGGGAGTATGGCTTCGGCTTCTTTCATATTTCACATGGTCAAGTCTAGGATTAGAGCAGCACAACAGAGTGACTTTTGTATCCTGAACTTAGATTTTAAAAAAAGATTTACCCTTTGATGTCCTGATTTTCAGGGTTGGCTGAAAAGCCGTCTGAAACTGGACGGGCAGACATAGACTCACACCTATGCAACTATTGGGTAGCCCCAATGTGTTCATGCAAGATGTTAAAAGCTGTGGAGCTGACCTGAGCTGTTAACTGGAAGAGTATAATGTTGGATCTTGAAGTGGACTTTTGAAGGCTTTTCACATAACTGCTAGCTTGCAGTTCATTGGATCTTGAAGCCTTTTTCTGTTTTGCTTGCTTGGATTGGTTTGTTCTTGTGGCTCAGTACTGCATCACTGAAGAATCTACTAGAGCTGTCATCCCTGACAGAAGGAGAAACTCTTGACAAATCTTGGTCAAACTGTTGCATTTTGCTAGTTTTATGTTCTTATTTTCCTTTGAGGGAAATTTGGCAAGTCATGTAAGCCTTGGGTTTGTAAAAAAAAGGTGTAATAGTAAGAGTGTGGTCTTGAGATCATGTGGTGTCAGTCTCTTTTTATTTATCGTTTTTTTTATTAATATTCTGCAGGGTGGGATCCTGACAATGCTTTATTTTCTTTTATTTTGGTTTGTTTATGAAATTAACATTGTAAATAAGCAATATTTGGTAAGGAATACTTTTTTAAAGCAAAAAATATATATTTCAGATTTGTAGTATACTAATTTAATGTTTTAGCTTATCAGTGGCTCCTTTTTAATCTTCAGAAACTTTAATGTTGATCTTGCCTTAACATTGTTTCTCAATGAGATGGAGAAACTCAGATTTATAGCTTTCACCAGCATTAAAGGCCAGTAGAAAAAGGACATTAAAGAAAATTTCAAGGACCCAGATATTTGTTTAGTAATGTTGGTCTAGGTTAAAAGATCTTGTCAGAGCCTGTCAAACCAAATGTGAAAGGCAGCCAAACCAGATGTTTTTTTAAAGAAAGCATGTTTCAGCTAATTCTGTTTCTTGTACACGTGACACCATGGGAAAAGAATAACACATCATCAATTCATGTGAAGATCCTTAAATTTGGTTGGCAGTGTTTTTGACAGAAACCATGTGTGTTGTCATTTTACACTCCTGGTTTGTGGTCTGTGTTTACATCTCTCCTGAAATTCCCTACACACTGTATGGAAAATACACTAACTTATTATCAGAGTGAATATATGATATCTCCATTTTAAAGAACCTATAAACGTTTGTGTAAAGTATAGAGTTTTTTGATGTATTGAAATGTGTACAGTATACAGTATATATTACAGAGGCCATCATATCTCCAGCTCACTCTCACTCAGAATACTTCAGTCATGTTAGTGCCTATGATGTCATACAGGTGGAGTTCCAACATTTTAACAAGGAAAATTAAAGTACTTATTAGATTTCTGAACTGCAGCATTCCTTTCTTGTTACAAGGTGGTGAGCTTCTTTTCTTTCGTTAAAGTACATAATTACAGGAATACACTTATCAGGAGGTGGGCAGGTTAAGGGTATTCTCCCACGACTGGAGGATGTTTACCATCTGAAATCAAACTGTTTTGTGATGTGGCAACAATACAACCTTGCCGAAATCTGACTGGTTCTTTGAAAACACAAACCCCCTGAAGTCATTATCATCTCATACAGTTTCTCCACCTTTTTGTTTTCTTTTAATGTTTCTCTTAACAGAGTGACTTGTTTTGCAAAACCTGCATATGCAGCATTAATGCAAAGGAGTAATGCTAATTTCGGTAACATTCGATGATGCACAATTACACTGCCACTGGGGGGGGAATTCAGGTTCAGTGAAGGGTGGAAGCCTTAAGTACTCCCAGATGAAGGACATGTATATAGGATGACAAATCTTACTGTACCTTTGCCAAGAGATCCAGTGGCAGTAGCCATACTTTTTATACTTGAAGCAGAACTAAATCTAATTGTATGACCTACATGGCTACCAGAGTAATGGCTGTTGGTTTGGCACTAATTTTCTTAAGAGTGCCAATAAGAAAATAGTAGTAGGTACTTGTCTGGAGGGATTACTTCACCCTTTAATAGGCTTCTTCCCTTCCAACCATTCACTGAGTGACAGTTATGTAGAAAGCTGTTCTGGAAATGGTCGAGTTGCATGACATTGCTTTCCCTGAGCCGTCTGTTTTTCGCTGGAATGTGACCTTGAACCATGAGTACATGCTTTTACTTTCAGACTGAAAACCTGCACAAGATTGTGGATTATGGTTGATACTTTGTAGTTCTTAAGACATTATTACGGAAGCATCTACAGGCATTAGACTGTGTTCAGATTTTTTTTTATTTCCAATGGTGGCATTCCGAGCAAAAGGCTTACTGTTGCAAATCAACCTGCAACGGCAGTCTCCGTTTGTATGGATTTATCTCTTATGTGTCTTAAGTGTATCATGCTTTGTATGTCTTCCTGTTTGTTTTTTTACTCTGACAGTGTTTAAAGATTTATGAATAATTCCATGTGTCTCATACTACAAATGCAAATGAAATACTACCCTAAAGGGGGAAACTGAAAACATTTAATTTGCACTGCCCCTATTGAAACATAAAGAAATGTACTTGAACAATATTCAGTGAATAAGACTTGGCATGTTCATTAACCAGTAGGGAAAATTCCTGTTCACCCGTTTATAGTCAATGTAAAAGGCGATGTTCTTATTTAGGGTTTTGTTATTGAATGCACCACAGAACAATAGATGATCTCACTGGTCATGTTGATTGCTGTTCATGACTAACATTTAACTACAGAACCATAAGGTAGTTTATGCGACAGATTTGACGAACCTCGATATTCTATTCCAGCAGTTATTAAATTATTAATTGCTAATGAAATAATTTAAGAAAATGGATTTGCTGACATCTGGCAACTCTTCTCATACTTTCTGGTATGTTGACTACAGTGGTCTGTTGGAAATGCACAGTACCTACTGTACGTCTATACAGTATTTGTGTTTAAAGAGATGTATTCCCATTTAAAAATAAGGTTTGGGTTATTACCTTAATCTGGTACACTTTCAGTCAAAAGTGTTTTTTGCTTCTTGTTTTGTCCTCACTGAATTGTTCAGAACAAGGGTTCTAGCTGCACATGCTAGCTGCAAACCGTAAATCAAATTAACTTGTAAATGAGAGAATCTAATTTGCTCCTATGGTAAATCATTCCTCCTTCTAATTGTTTTTAAAGGGATTTTCGAAAGGCATTGATTTTTGTTAAAGTCTTTTGTAAATATTACACATTTCACCATTTAATGGGTATATATATTTTTGGTTGCCATTTATTGCATAGCAGAATAAAACATTTTTACCTGATTTACCCCACTGTTTTGGTATCTTTAATCCACCCATGCCAGATGTGGTCCAGTTCCTTTGATCATTCAGTTCAAATCACCACTGTCTGAAGTTCATTATTTCAATAAAGGTCAAAATAAGATTTGCTGAAGAGACAAATGTTTGTAAATGGAAACAGTTGAACGTTTTCATTAACTGTTTGAGAAAGGATGTTTTTATTTTATTGTAAAGGAGACATTCCTAAATGTGGGGTTACTCTAAAAAAAGAAGGAAAGCACATTTAAGATAATCGCAAATTCCATTCTGTTGATTTTACTTTCTGATCTCAATTTGTGAATGTCAATATCTATTTAATCTCTGAAAAAAATAAAGCAAAAGGATTGAACACCTTTTTAAATCATATGCCATTGGTGGTGTAAGAATTTTAAGAACCTTTGCAGTCAAAATTGTAAGTCATTTGTGTCATGTTTAAGGAATCTTGGTGTTCCCAGGTGTCTTGTGTGTTTTAGATGGAAATGCATTAGCGTTGCACAGCGCTCTCCTCTACCACACAAACCCCTCTAGTTTCAAAAAGTATGTTCCTAATCTACAGTAGGTTTTTAGGATTTAGTGAAGGAATGAGGACATTTAAAACGGTCTTCAGTAAACAGTTGAAGGGCACAATTTTGAACAGGTTTTAGAGTAAGTGTAATAAACAATAGCCCCATAACTGAAAAGTGCATTTTATTATTTGATTATTCAGCGTTACTTGAATAATTGTAAGTGGTTCACAGTTATTGTGAGTATAAAGATTACCACAAACAAACAAGACTTTACAGCCCAACATTTAATCAAATAGGTGAAAAGATAAACATTTACTACAGAAGAAGTATAATACAGAAGTCAGAAGTCATAGAAAACTTTTTAAAACAGACATTGTCATTTTTTTACATTGGATTACATGTACATAATTGAAATACAAACAGAACAGACTTTAATGAAAGCCATATACCATACCAGTGAAATATGATCTGCCCTTAATCATTTTTAAAGATAGTAGTTGCATGTATATTATACAAAATAGACTTTTTCAACCAGTATTACGGTAGTGCAAATTTTCAGGCTCTAGTTTGTTGATTACTTTCACACACAGTTTTTACCTTTTCTAAGTGATTGGTTAACTTCACAGTAATATACAAGAGACCAAAGCCTTAAACAATTACACTTTTAAGTACTTTCATATTTACCTTGAGTGCTACTGTATATTCTAAAATTCCCCAAATAATGTTTTGACTTTGGTCACTAAAGTTGTTGAAATATACAAAATATATTTTCCATTTAATTTTATTTTAAAACATGGCATGTTTTTTTTAGAAATTTTCCCCATCAAGATACAGAATTTACATTTATTTACAAGTAAAACAAAACTGAAAAGTCTTACTAATTATCATTCTAATATATAGTAATCATTTTCATATGGATTTGTCCAAAATCACATTTTCCTTTTGCCACACAAATCGAAACAAAACATTAGCATGTAACGAAGAATAAAAACCAAGGATTAAACTGTTATTTTTGATAACATGGAACATAGTACATTAAAGAACCAAAATGTTTTTTTTTTACTTTTCACCACAACAATGCAGAAGCTAAAATAAGCAATCATTAAAATGTATTCTATTTAAAAGATGCAATAGGTGACTTTTTGTTGTTTTTAGACTTTTTTATATAGAAATAACTCTTCAGAAAAATAAGGATTCTGCTTGCATTATTTACAGCATTAGTATTATTGCCAAATTAGAACCAAATAAAAAATAGACTACACCTTCAGACTGTATGTGAAAGTAACCTGAATGCATTGAAAAAAAATTGCATTGGAGAATGGGCAAAAATAATGAAAGCACACAAGAAAACATCTGACCGACCTGACATTTTCGAACAAGACAGGAAACGTACAACCATTCATTCGTATATAAATGTTTTTATGTATAACCAAATATATAACAAACCCATTTTTCCATTTCAAAGATCAGCTGCAGTTAGAGAAGGTCTAAGCTAAAAAAATGAGACCATCAACACAGCTTTTGACATTTCTGAAGAATGCAACAATACTACAGTGCACACAAATGTGCGTCTTGCTTAAAACCTCACCCTCTTTGCGTTTCTTAAACGTTGTTGACACCTATTCCCTCTGTACAGCAAGTATACAAATGCAATGTACACACTGTGAGATACACAATACACTTTTCGTAACATTCAAGGTAAAAATTACAGAGAACTAATTTTCATATCACCGTTCATGTCCACTTTAAATTTCAGATGTTTTTATTAAAAATATCAATTTATTCATCCTTGATGTGGCTGAAGCAAAATTATACAAACCTATTAGACTACACCAAGTTTAAAAGTGGATCGATTAGCTAAAAGAAATGGCTTTTCTAAGTGTCATCTAAAATGTGAAGATATTGTTTTTACAAAACAACTCTTGGACAACTAGACCATGTGTGGTAGAGTATATTGCGGTAAGTAGTTCAAAACATTGAAGATAATTTTTTAGCAAAATCATACATAAAAAAGTAATATTTTTAATATAATATACTTTACCTGCACGGCTAAATCTGTTTCTTATCTTACAGTAATCTCTAATTTTCTATAGTGTGAAAACTACCGGCAAATATTGGTTAAAATACCCAGTCTTTCTTATCAATGTTTGTTGCTCCATTGCAAATTACATTCTGATCATTTTGCTATATGATCTTATACTGTGCATTTCAATATCTATTTATTCTTTTGAATAAATAAAGTTAAATTGTAAAAATGTTCTTCATTCATTCAACAAACTGTTAAAAGCTGTATTGGATTCTCTTGATACAGACCAAAAATGTGACAAGTATGTTAAAATGTATATTTTTACAAGAAAGCCAAGGATTTTTTTTTATCCGTTGCAAACATATTAAGCGGCCAAAAGTAAGATCTAATACTTCACGTCAAAATATATATATTGAAATACAGGCATAAAAAACACGGTTTAATTTCCATGTATACTTTGTTTTTGCTGGTACAAAAGTCCAATTTTAGTATATCAATAAAAACTATTTCTTTCATGATGTATCCTTTTCAAATTGACAGGTGCACGTAGTTACCTCTGGGGCTGTGACAGAGAACAAAATAAAATACAAACACTTTTTAGGACAATCACAGTAAAAAAAAAAAGTTTGGCACACAAAGAATAAAAAGGGGACATCTCACTATAAAGGGCCAAACTAACACAAATTCCACTTTGAAGTTCCAGAACGGCAGAGTACAGAAGATGAGATTATTATCCACTTGTTGTTATTTTTTACTTTCTACCTAGATATGAATTTTTTTTAGAGCTTTTAAGTAAGGAATCAATTCCACAATTAAACTTTGTTATTGCAGAAAAAGAAATCCTATACTGTACAAAAACAAAATCCAAATGTGCTAAAAAATGAATTTACAGTAGGAGCTGTGAAAAGCAGTGAGCATGACACAAAGGGCCAGTTTATATTCCATCGCCTGAATGCTGTTGGACAGGAAACCCAGCCAGAGCAAGTTGCTCTGCTATTGCCAAATTCGCTCATCACTGTCCCTGACCATCACGCAGTTCTCCAGAGATGTCAGAGCAGGAACGCGGAGGATCACGCGCATCGATAGTTTTTTACTTATGCTTGTTTGCTTTTATGTAAGAAGTGATTGATCGAAGCAGATGCATAATTAAACCCAGTGCTAATTAAACTAGAATCTTGGTTTTCAAAGTTGTAAATACCAAATGCTTTGCATTCTTGGGGTTTAGGATATTCTTTACTAAATGTGGGGCAGGTGATACTATCAGTAAGTTGATCATTTGTGTATATATTCTACTGTAGATATGCACTACAATGTAGCTACAAATGTTGTTACATTAGCTGCAGATAAATAAAATTGCTGCTATAGGATACAATAGTTTACTACATACTGTGCATACAGACAGTGCAGTCTATATATTATGGAAGTATATTGCCACATGTTTATCACCAAGTAAAATAAGATATGTACCGTACATAAAAAAAGTTTACATCTAAGTGCTTCTGTACTGTAGTTCTGTAATACATTGACATTTTAAACAGCTGTACTTCACATAGTTATCAGATCACTAGATGGGACAGACGTGAATATATACTGTATATATATACAGAATTCTGTTAAATCATTTATTTATATTGTGTTTGTAATTACACATTTCTTTGGAATGAAAAGCACTATATAAACGCAATTAGCAGTAATTATATCAGTCAACTCAACACAGGCACTGTCAGACCATTAGAAGCTAGAAATGCCATCTTTCTAAATTGCATAATGCAGCATAAATGCATACGAGAACATCTGATGATAGCACGTTTATAATAATAATAAGAATTATAATAATAAACTTGATTTTATATAGCTCCTTTAAAAGTAGGATCTCAAAGTGCTTTACAGTTGGTGTAAATATATATTTTTTAATATATATTTATATATAAATATATAGCTATACAACAAAGATATTGGCAACAACATTAAAGACCCCTCCAGCAGCAATCATCCTATGATGATTCTGCACTAATTTTGGTGGGTGGACCATAATATCTCTCCAATGCTATCCAGAACTGTGGAAACCTCCACTATCACCCAGTAACAAGATTACTGACTAGACCAAAGTTCAGCTGATCTGGTTCCAGGAACACAGCTAGTGACAATCATTTTCAAGCTTAGTAAATGCTGGCAAAAACTACTGTAGGTTGAGTTGTGAACACTCTGCTCTCCAGTGATGGTTAAGCAATAGAACATAAACCGGCCCTTAAAACCTCCATTAACTGACATGGTGCACTGATCTTCACTGAGAAGAACAAAACACCACATACAATATGAATCCTGTATTAGGCAACTAAATATAGTTGTTTTGTGATTCATAGTTCGTTTTGTGTTACTAAAATAACTTAATTACTTGGGGGCAACTGCTCCAGTTTTCTTTACTTAGCAATCGAGACTTCTATTAAAACAAGGAGACCTACTTCTATGCTAACTTGCACTCTAAAATGTAAAGTCATTTTCTACATTGATCATAGCTGACAAGGGAGAACTCAAACAAAGGGATTTTTCTCATATCTGATATTATATTAATAAACTTTTGGTCTGTTAACATTGCAATGTGAATTTCTTCACAAAATTTATTTTGTACAGATTTCAGAACTACTATCAGTAAAGTTTTGTTTTAGAGCCTCTTTTGCACATTGGCAGATGCAGAAAATGGACAGGTAAGGTAATGAGTTAAGATGGCAAGGGTTTATAACTGATCACATATACATCTGATTTCTTTTTGTTACAGCAAACAATTGTTTCCTGAAAGTGTGTTATATTAAATGATTGTTTTATTTAAAAAGCAGATCTTAACAGATACTGTAAGTGCTGAAATTGCATTTAAAAAATAAAAGCTCTAACTTAAGTACAACAATGTTTTGAAATCAACACGGAACTACTACTATGGGAATTTTCACGCCACGTTCTTAAGGAACACTTAATTTTAGTTCACACTTCAGAGGATTTTTGAGCTGCCCACTTCAGAAAAAACACGAACATGGCTATTTTAAAAAAAAGGAAATTGCCAGTGCAAGTAATATAAAAATACATACAATTAAGATTAAGTTTAATCATTGCGTATGCAAAATACTTGCCTTGGACTTTTACAAAAATGGCTAAAATCAGACAGCAAAGCTAAAAAAGGCACATCTTTTCCCTTTTTACTGATATACATTTGTAAACCTTTAGCTGTTTGCATGCATAAAATCAATTTCTAACTGTATAAAATATTCTTTAAAAAAAGTACAAGATTTTTTCTTTCCTGGCCAATTTAACGTTGTGTAATTAAGCAGTTTATAAGCAAAAAAAAACCCAAATGATTAAATTCTAAAGTTGTTTTGCTTTTCCTCCTTGTCAATCTCCCTGCATTTATCAGACTCACTTGGCCCTCTGAAAAAAAAACTTTCATACTTTGCATACTGTTTCAACAATCTTTTTAAATGGGATAATACCTCTTTCTCAAATACCTGACAATTTGAGGGAAAGCAATATCAGCTTGAATAATTTAAGGCATCTTCTTTCATGCGATAAGGCAGTCACTTTTGATGAAAGAGCAGTGGCTTCACACTCCCAGCTCTGAATTTTGGTAATTGATTGCTGATGATCTCAGACAGCATCTCTGGAAACTCCACACACAAAGATTTGTTCAGAAAGGTGTAGAAGCAGAAGTTCAAGAGTCCACCCACCAACTGCAGAACAAAAAATAAAATGTTTATTCTTCTGCACTTTGAAACAAAAAAGGACCGTTGGTATCGGTAGTCATTAAACAGTCTGCCAAACAAATAACTAATAGCTGGCGGAAAGTTACAAAGTGAAGATCTGGCCTTCAGTCTGTGTCTTTGTCAAGGGCTTATCAATCCAAGCTTTTTTTTTATTTTCAACTCACCTCATGCATGGAGTCAAGGAGTTTCGTCAGTTGATAAAACCTCTGCCAGTTTTGGCTGGAGTTCTCCTCACGCTTGACAATGGCTTTTCCCAGTTCCTTGATGTAGGACATCCGGATCTCATCAAAGATGCTCTGACTCCTCAACCCAGTTTTAGGAACTAGAAAGGTAGATATCACAAATTAAAAGCTAACTAGCAAAGCAGAACAGAGCATGTAGCATATTTAAGAGTTACAGATTCTGACTTTATATATGTAATATACTGAATGTACTGTTATTCCGTGCACATATTTAATCATATAACACTAACAAAACATACATTAGGCTGAACCCAGAGATTTCAAGTGACCATAAGCATTGGGACACATTCACTTCAAGTGAAAAAAAAATAGTACTTGGTAACATATTCCTTTGATGCAATAATCATTCCTTGATGTAATCATTCGAGATGCTTTGCTGCAGCCACATTTTTATAACTTCTGTAAACGTTTTCTCTCAAACATGAAAATGTATGCCTTAAAGAAGTAAGAAGCAGCAGAATCATCCTCATAATTAAATGAACCTTTAATGCAACAGAAGAGAAAGCATTCTGGCCCACTAAATTTCATCATTTAAAGTCGAACAAGACAACAAAGACAGATTCACTAAATATTTGAAGTGAGAACTGTTCTGCTCTGTGATAATGACATGAACACTAAGGAAGCCTAGTAATTTTGCAGAGGCAATTAACGAATGTCAGAATGAACAACATTCACTGAAAGTAAATTGAAAAGCGGAGATGAGAAAGTATTAAAAAAAAACATCATGCTGTACATCGTATGTCAACTGCACCTTGAAAATACGAATATGAATTAAAGGTTCAATGCGTAAGAGGTTGAGTCTACAATGACATAAACTGACGATTATGGAGGGCAGAATACTTTCTAAATTAAAAAAAAAAATCAAAATGCAGTACTCTACAATACTCACAGACACTTCAACACAGGGATCCCTACTATTTAATGCATGTTAGCTTATGTCTAATGCTATATTGACATTGTCTAAACTGAAAGTTATAACTGACGTTTTTTGGGGCAAACTTAAGAAACCCGTCATATCATGAAATATAACAACCCCTCAAATCTCCTACCTGTGCTGAGTAGCAGTAGAACTTTCATGCAGAGATATTCATCATAGGAAACCTGAAGCCTCACGAACTCATTTGAAATCTTCAGCATCTGTTCGCACTGTTCAGACATGTATGGTAACTTCATTCTCTCTCTGCAAAAATAACAAATAAAAATGGGAAAATATCCTCACAATATAAGTTTTTTTCCTTTTCTGCTACAAAATCAGACGCATACAGTATTACATCAGTGCGATTCATTAAATTAACTGATTTCCAACTGCAGCACAAAAGAAGAACCAGCTTTCCTTGTTATGTTTGAGTGATTTGCATAAAAAGACAAAAAAGTTTGAAAGCACTTACTCATTAATCACCAGGTCTGGTGCAAAACATAGCATGCTGCCATTGGACTGCTGGTAGGACCTCCATCCCAGCCCAAATGACATGAGGAACATCCAGGAACACTGCAGCAGAGTCATCTGGTCATCAAGATGCAGGTTTCTAAATCCTAGCCAAGAAGAGACAGGGAGAGTCTTGGTTTAGTAACCTTTTCCCAGTGTAATATTACACAATCCCCTCTTCCCAAAAAATATAAATTTTTCAAAATAATAATCTTACTCTATTGCATCTCAACTACTTCTTGAGAATAACTGTCTCCTGAAAACAAGGAATAATAAAAAATATGAAGAGCTAATGGGGAGGAATGGAAAAATGGAGCACTAATTTGAATTGAAGTATTTGGATAACATTTTTGCTCAGCCAGACCAGGCACACCTGAGCACATAAACGTAAGCAAACCTAAACAAACCACTGAGGTCAGACCGAATAGGCTTGCTGAAAGTGAACAGAACTTGCATGCAGTGAATTTTATTGGCCATCCTCCACTTTATGCCTTTTCTGGACAAACAAAGAAATACGGTAAGGTCACTTCTCAGCTGTCTTGCAGCTGTGTCCTGCTTGCCTTTGCTCAGAATCAACATATTGTTAATTACCATTTGGGATTGTATTACAGATGACTAAAGAAAATGTGGCAAAAATTCATGGCGTACAATACTTTTCACTCCATGAAAAACTAATTTTTCATGTATAACTTCTCCCATATAAGAGAAAAACAAAGGGATTGGCTGCCATTTGCAGATATGAGTTTTTTCAAGCCTGTCTGAAACCTGATGTGCAGCAGTCTGTCAGCTGAATTACGTTTCTCTTTGGGAAGTGTATTTGTTCCATGCTCAAATGCACTCTGTGTCTTACTGTTTCCATAAGTGACAAATGCAAAGTTCAAAAGCCCCAAATACAGTACTGGAAAATCTTCGATAAGACTCATGAACTCACCTGGGAGAGCCTTTGCCCATTTTACAGCTGAGACAACTTGCCTTCCTCCTAGACTGTTTAGGGTGCTCATGAGCCGTGTGGAGGTGTCTGGGATGGTGCTGTCATATCCCGAATAAATGATTTCTGGCTCTATGGCCTTCAGCAGAGACAGCATGGTCGGGATGAGCTGGGGCATGGATTTGGGAACCACTGCTCGCGTTTGCTCATCGGGAAGTGAAACTGGCTGCTCAACTGCTCTCCCAGGACCCTTCAACCTGTTCAGCTTCTTCGTTTTCCTCGCTGAAATCCCAAAACACACAAAACATGAATTAATGCGGCTTCTTTTTCTGTCCATGTCTGGTATTTGGCAGTTCAGTTTTGATTAGGAAAAGGAAAACAAAAAAAGGAACCAGATAATGTTCCAATCTGCAACCTTAGATATCGGACAAATTCTAGATACTTGGTCCAATGAAGCTCTCTCAAAACACTAGATGACCTAGACAACAGCTTGTAGAGCACAAAGCTGACATTCAGGCTGTATCTGATATATCTTGATTTTCCCACCTCAGCAATGCGACTCTGCAATGCATTCTAAAATTAATTTACTAAACGCATACTGTAAAAGGCAGAACATGTCATTTTTAATAAAATATTGTATTCTAATGCAGTATATTTACTTATAATAACACACTCATGCTCATATATAACTCAAATGATTTTGTGCCAATGTAATCCTACAGTAGCACTGTATGTAATGTATGTAAAGATATATGAAAGCACTTCATAAGTAGATTCTGAATATACTAACAACTCTTTTAGAAAGACATTTTGAAAACACAGTATAGATGTTATCCTGTCACAATTGACACTGTATTACCAGAAACAAAAGAAGTTATTACTATTAGAAGTTATTTAAAAATGCAGTTTGCTTTCTACCACATATTCAACCTATTCTATTTGATTTTTATCATACTTGAGAAATTTTTATTCTTGATTTTTTTTCCTCTTGCCAAACATCCTGCAAATCAGAAAAGAATCACTCAAAGTACTTTACCACTTTGCTGTTGCTTTTTGAACTGGCATTACAAAAGCTAAATCAGATTCACAAGAAAGCAAGTATTCTCATTACAGAAATTAAAACTCTTATCTCCAAGACTTCACCATCTCACAGAAGAGAAATGCAGATTTTAAAATGCTCTCAACAGATTACTTGTTTCACTATGCTTTCCTGTCACACAATGATTAAAATCCCTTTCTAAAAATAGTTAAATAAACAATTAAGAATACTGCACAAGAGTAACTTCTTTAATGTGCTTTTGCTAAAACAATCGTCATACTCAACCTGCTGTAATATAGACTGTTGTTCCTCAACATCACAAAGGTTCATGATAATTTGGCTTTACATTAAAATTCTTCATCTTTATGAAATGCAAATTAAGAGAGAGTGCTGTGAGATCACTATTTTTTCCAGTTTTAGGGTTCTAACATTTCAGTTCTTATTTTGCTCCTTCAAACGGGAAAATGTCATTCATGTTCTCAGCATTATGGCTTCTTGTGGGTTTAAAAAGAGGTGACCCTTGGTTTTCACCTTTGCTTTTGTTTGTTGTCTTTCCGAGGTTAAGAGGTTAATATCAAATCCGTTTGCATTCGACAGCCTTTAGTGATTTTTTTAACCTCCTCCATTAAGGTTTCTATGGTAACTAAAAGCTTTGCTGACAGAACTCAGGGTATAGTTCTCTGCTGATAGTGTTTTTTGTTTCTTGATCTCTACAAATAAGATGTCACAATTTTATATTCTTCAGTACAAGAAATAATGTAAAAAATATTCTTGAACACAACTACTTCATTTTAGGTTTCATGCCCATAATTCCATATTAAGTTTTGTTAACAGGGTTTCCTGCCAACAGTGTGCTGTGTATTCCTGAAATAAAATATGCATTAGATGACGACAAAACCACTGTTACACAGAAAGGAAAAAGATGATGATGAAGGTGAGATTATGTTTCAAAGTAGGTTCCGTTAGTCATTGAACATTATGATGGACTCTGGATGACAATTATAATTCTCTTACATTAGCTTCAGTGACACAAATAGTTACGATTAGAGGCAATAATTCACGTTAATAGCAAAGTAAACCCCTAACCTATCATTCTTCTACATGCACCCACAAATGAAAAAAAGCTGCAAGGAAATTTAAGAAATCATTAAATTTGGGAAACTTAACCTTAAAAGTTTGTTCTCCTGCTGAGACTTCATTAAAATTGGAGGTTTAAAGACTTCTTATTTCTAAATTAAAACATAATTATTACAAAAACATTAAGAGTTAAATTTAAGGAAATGGGTTTAGAAGTAGCTATCTTTTTCTTCCATGGTTTTGGGGACACTCTTGACAGTTTTTGAGGACCCCTGGTTTGGAACCAGATTAAATGCTGCAAAGCACACCTCAGCGGGGCATTTAGAGTGGACACTCTCATTTGAACACCAGCTCAAATCACTGTCCTGGGAAGATTTCACACTTTATCCAGTCTACTTTCTTTATGGTAGTGAATAGTGGAAAATTCCCGACTGTTGCATGTTATTGGACAAGCTGTACATGTAACTCACTGGAGAACATTTATTTGCATTTAGCACGTCATGTAATACAAAATGCTTACCTTCTAAATTCATTCCAGCCTGCAGACATTTACGGAACCTGCACGCTGGACAGTTCTTCCTGCGAATCTTGTCAATGATGCAGTCATTTCTTCCCGCACACAGATAATTGTGTTGCCCTAGGAAAAGAGCAGTATCAACACAAGAGTTAAAAGATTGTCCAGCATCCCTGCCATTACCACTTGTGATTTTATTACACTTCTCTCTCAGGGACAAATACCTCAAACTTTGACTTCTTAAGATTACCAGATTCCTTGGTTACTAACAAGACTATCATTTTACATCTTGAGTTGCTACAGTAAAAGCACTGCATATGAAAGATTTCTTAGGAAAAAAATAATTGAACGAAAAATAATCAGAGGATTATCAACAACAAAATGAGCAAAACGTATTTACAAGGACCATAGGTTAACTTTCTAGAGACTTGAGGTTAGGAACAAAATCTTTTTAAATAGCAAAAGGACAAAGCATGAATCCATTCATTTATACAGTACAAAAGTAAACCTTTTTATCTTGAGATGTAACATCAGCTATACATTTTGGAGTCCACTACCCTTTGTTTCAAAGGGAAATGCAGTTAAAAGAAAAGGGACTTTCGATGGATTACAACAAAGCATTGTGAGATTCTGGAACAAGATACCCAGCCATGTTGTCGAAGGCAATATTATAATCTCTTTCAGAAAACAGATGGATAAGTTCTTTACGTAATCAACAAAATAAACCATTAAAACAGGAACACTTTTGAAAACCAGAATTAGCTCTTTTGCATTATGAGAGATTAGCAATTACATCCATGACTTCAGCTAAAGCAGATGTTCTCAGGATGATCTATAAAAGTCATTTTGTTTGTCACACAGTGGACCTCAAGTTCAAATTCAACAATGAAAGGAAACTATGCATAGTGGAATGATTCCTGGTCTAGTCAGCATACCAATCCCAAGTATACAGTACTATATTAAACTGAGAAAAGACAACAAACCATCCTTTCTGAGAGTACACAGCCAAGAAAACCACATCTGTACATTTGGGACACAGTAAGTTATTATCACATAATACACTCTGGTTACCTTGAAGCAGTGCCTTTTATAGTGAGACAATGTAGGATATTTAACCATGCCAGTTTGTAAAGCACATGAACATGTCACAGAGACCCATGTCTACCTACAATCACAGCTCTTGCTAATCTTCTGCCAGTTCACAGTATTATTACATTTTGTTCTGCTACAGGAAACATGTAAGCCTAACTGATTTCTCCCTTTATCGCTCAATATCACAGCTCTAGGGGGAATAAAGTCAGAGGTAAACGGATTAAACGATAAAACGATTTTCTATTTCATTCATTTACAATCAAAAAGGATGTTTTATGAGCAACTGCAATGTTTTTCCCTGCTGCTAATAAAATGAGTGTATGTTTCCCCTTGTAGAACATTTACTGCTTCAGGATGACACTATTTGAACAGCCTGCTGGAGGAAATGGGCAAGAACCTTAACGGCTCTTTGAAGGATTGACTGCCAAGTGTCATTTAAAAAAAAATAAAAATGTGAAACACATGGTCGAAGCGAAAGTGCCGAGACAAATGTCTACACTGTTCATTATCAAAGGTTCAGACTGACATACATTTTTTAAATAAACATGCTCCTTGCTGTCATCGCCCCCACTGCAGGTTCCTGACCTCTTCCTTCTGGTTACTAACGTAAGGCGGATTAATCTCTGTGGTTAAGCACACGATAAAAAGAGGTTTTAAGATCCCAGAGACTTCAATCTTCTCTTGTATACCAACCAGTCAAAAGTGACACTGACACCCAATGAGAAGAGCTCTTACAGACTAAGTCTATAAATTTACTAAGAAAGTGAATCAGAATTGCTGTGAATTACACTGTGCAGAAGGAATGCATATGGAGAAAAAATGAAGATAATAGATAAACTACATTATTCCAGAAAATGCAGCTGTCTTACGATTGTAAACATACTAGGTGAGGTTCCTGCAGTGTTCTTTTTGTTCAGGAATTGCTGCATTTGTTTTAAGAATTACCTGGAATTTAATTTATTCTGACTTTTGTATCCATTTGAGTGAACGAAGACAATCACTAGTTGAGGTTTAAAACTAAATTAATGTGCATGTCTGTGTGTTTTACTTTAATAACGTTTATACTGAAATGAGATTAGTTAAGAAAGTCAAGATAAATCGTCCATATTAACATTTTGGACTGTTTATTCTCTGAGCAACTGAAAACTATCTTTCAATTAATGAACAACTCAGACCATATAGATGTGTGCCAGGAAAAGTTAATGAAAGACTGTATTTCCAAGATTACTCCAACTATTTTGAGGCTGGATTAAATTTTCCAGGCTCAGAGTAGATTGAAGGTTTACATTTTTCACCCTGTGGAGTAAATGTTGAGAAGACAAGTTTTTTAAAGCTCCATTACATTAGGGTTTTAAGTATCATGACTGACATAGTGTAGTCCGCAAAGGTTCTCTTTCCGAGTGCAAGTGGAGATCTATGGCCCAGATGTCACGGGTGGAGCCTGGGTCATGTCACCAGCTGTTTCTGGCCAGAATGTCCTAAACAATGGAGCAGATTGGGTCAAGTGCTGCCGAGGAGAAAAGGCCTGTCATTATTCACACAGGGCTCTCCCTGCAAAACAGTGGCTCCTTCAAGTGTGTATTGACGTCAGAGACTGACGTGTCTTTCCTCCAATTTACACAACCTTCTCCTTAAAGACACTGCTGTGCATGCAGTATCAACAGAGCACTGGCTTCAGATTCACTGGCCAATACTGGAGTCTTAATAAGTTTAGATCTAAAGAAGTAATCAGTGATTCCTAACCGGGTGGGTTTCTATAAAAAAAAACTTAAATGGTTTCAATATTTTTGGTTTCATTGCCTTTTAAGCCTAAAATGTAAATTGGGAAAAATTAAAAAGCAAACTGCATTTCTAATTGGTTTTCAAGGAAATGAGATATACTGCAAGTTAGACATAAAAACCTGATAACTGACAGCTCCTTAGAGAGTCACACATCTTTTATTTTGTTTGGAGAGAAGTTGCTTTAAGTTGCAAACTGAATCAAAGTTCACTTTGAGGTGTAAAATATGAGAAATATTTGTTTTGCTTCAGAGTGCTTACCAAATGAGGGAGTGGGATTTTTGATTCAGCAGAAGGGGGTAAGTAGTGGGGACTACCACTTCAGATAATTACAGTGAATCAGAATTAACTGAAAATGAAACTTTCATTTTGAACCACAACTGGTCTCTTAAAAGCTCCATTGTCTGTGAATTTTCAGGTTTTCCTTTTTTGTCTTCCATATATATATTATAACTCTTGAACTATTTTTTATATTAAATAATATAAAATCGCTAACATTTCTTACATATTGTAAGGGAAATGTTAATCTGACTGCAATACTGTTTACTTAGAAGACTTTAAATTTAAATAACAGCTAAGCGGGTAGGGCCAGTGGGGCCAGTAGGGGGTGCTCACCCTGCGGTCTATGTGGGTAAAAAAGGTGTTGTCCTTCGAGGTAAAACCAAGGTCCTGACTCTCTGTGGTCATTAAAAATCCCAGGGCATTTCTCAAAAAGACTAGGGGTGTTACCCCAGAGTCCTGGCCGTATTTCCCTTTGGCATTTACCAATCATGGCCTCCTAATAATCCCTATCTATGAACTGTCTTCATCACTCTGTTCTCCTCCCCACTGATAGCTGGTGTGTGGTGAGTGGACTGGAGCACTAAAGCTGCTGTTGCATCATCCAGGTGGGTGCTGCAAACTGGTGGTGGTGGAGGGAAGACCCCATTACCTGTAAATCTCCTTGAGTAGAGTAGCCATAGAAGAGTTACATTATATAAGTGTAAGGAATGTATTATTATTATAAATTGGAGTAAACTGTGCTTCTTGCATAGCCTTCTCATGCATAATGTGTTTTCCTCTATAACATTTTATAGCTCAAGTTTTGTGTTTCTATTTGATCAGTAGAAGAATTGCAAGCAAAAGAAAACAATTTCCCTTATTTTTCCATGCCAATTTTAGGTTGAAATATCCCTTGACTAGGTGTGAATTAATAGCAACCTCTCAGATCTGATGATCAAAGTCTAATGTTGCAACATGGGATGAGATTTCACCTATGAGCTCTAAGGTGTCATGCTGGTATATCCTGTGACAGTCTAAACTCTTTTCATAAAGAGTTATTTCTGTTCACGAATAAGAATTTATTACATTTAAATTTGCAGATACCTCGAAAATGATTTCTTCACCAAAGAAACTATGCTCATTCACATTGGAAACATCTTAAACAGTGTAAGACGTAACTTTATTCAAATGGTTTGCCTTAATTCTTGATAAAATTCCAGGATTGTAAAAAACAATCCAAAGAAGAGTTTGATTCAGTCGAACAGATTGGATGATTAGGCTTACTTTTAGAATCTGAAACCCATGCATTTTAAAGCACAGAAAGAGAGGAGCACCATTCTGTCGGTTTGAGATTTGCAAAAAATATTTATTCCCAAAAGAATATACGGACATGGATTTAACAGCGATATTAAGTTAAATTTATTTACCATCAGCGTTTTGTCGAGCTCTCCATCCTTCATCAAAGCGAGAACAACCGCAGAATGGGGAAAAGAAAAGAATAACAGGTATAACTTCTTGATGCCAAAAGGTAGCTCATTTCATACAAAACACTGGTCACATAATTCTATCTAGTCATACCTTCAAGTGCCCAATTCAGGCCAGGTAAATAATGTATAAAAAACAGAATAGTGCCTGTTATGTTTTCACATGCTTGTTCTTTTAGTCCTCAGACTGACAAAGTGAGAGCTGCTCTTATAATCCCATGTTTTGTTGGGATTAAAACAAACATAAAATTGCACAAAATCTCCCTTTGTCAGCAGAACATTTTCTTTTCACTCTGCTTCTTGTGTACCTCTATGGACCTCTGGAGGGGACAATCTCAAGAATCTCAAGACCACTGCGACCTTTTGTGCTTGCACAGCATTGCTAAAATGGAATTTCTACCACAAAATGGATATGGAAATCAGTCACCTTGGTCGCTAATTATATCATTTACACTTTTACATGCTTATCGAAGACTTTTCCTTTTATTGTGATTACACAATCTGTATCAAAGGGCTCAATTATTCTTCCTAATTCCTACTAAAAAACCATGCCCTTCAATCATGTTTCTCATAATGAGAAAAAAATGGGGGGAATAAATGCTCAAATTATTTGGAAAAGAATTAACATGATTTTAAGATGAGTCTTTCCTTTCAAATATGTCCATCCTTAGTCATCTGGATTTCAGGAAAAGGAAAACCTTTGTTTGGTACATGGAAGTGCTAAAACAAAAAACTAAGTATGATATGGTTTATCAATTTCCACCCCATCACGTGGCAAGATCTTGAGAAATAAATTTGAATCTCTTCTGTATTTAAATTATCCAGAACTCTTACTGCATCACTATACATTCATAATAGAAATGGATTTCTTGCACATTTTTTCATATGAATAAAAGTTCTGATTTCTTATGAATACTGTAATAAGAAACCGGCAGACATATCGTTTATTAACGTTAACATTCTTCACTCAGTGTTATCACAGGTTTCACCCGCAGCTTACCAGTGGGTAAAAATGTTGCAAGTTAGAAACTGCTGAGGGCTTGTGGCGGCAAAGTAAATAAGCTGGCATCACACATAGATAGGCTTACATTCTTAGCATATTGTTTTCTTGGAAACCACTAAAAGTACCCTCTGTATGAGGATATCAGTTATCAATCAGGATGATTACTTAAAGAAATCACTCCATCTAAGGCTGTAATGTAATACAGTATATGCGGGTCAACACAGCTCAGGAACTAGCTTGAACTTCTGTTCTGATGATTTCACAGATTCATAATTTCATTTGGTCGTACTTTTTGGAGTGAGCCCTGTGTAAGCTGCCGAGAAGATGGTTTATAATTTTCCGTTCTGTTATGTGGCAAGGGATTTAGAAATAAAGAAAAATGGGAATCATATTCTCCAAAACATCTATTGCATCTGCTTATAACACTCTACCTTCATAATATCAACTGATTTCTTGCACATTATTTTCAAATAAACAAAATTCTGATTTCTTCTAATTACTCATTAACAAAATGGCAGACATATCGTTCCATTAATGAAGTTATGCAGTTATGCACAGCTACTGACCTTTTGCATTTTAGCATTAAAGTGGAGATTGATGAGCAACTATGACTTAAAAAAAATCAATCTTCTCCTTTCTAATGTGAAAAGATTAGTTCAGCCAAGTTGTTCACGGTGCAGAACCTATCTTTCTGGTATTCTACCTTCTGGCACAAAGTTCACTCCCATTCACATTCATTTGGATTTTTGCCACTCGCTCTTAAAATATGCACTTTCAACAGCTTTATTTGTCAAAGGTGAATTAAGGTTTTGCCTTAAAATCTCTGCACATTTGTATACAACTACTTCATATCCAAAATATACTAGATATACTGGCTATAAGGATTTGTAACATATTCGACTTAATGTTGTTCACATCGTTGGACTAATTCAGAAAACTGCAATAGCAGTATTCTGTACCTTTTTCTCTTGGTCCAGTACTAAATGTTTATGATCTAAATAATCCCTTCTATGCAGATGATAGTCAAATCTTTGACCACATTAATTATCTAACAACCACATCCACACTAATTTTCCGATACCGAGATAGCCATTTCAATACTCTGATTTTCTAACACTTTGGATAATAATCTGGGTAGTTGCAGAGCAAATTGTTTCCAACACCCTGTACGGCGGACTGTGACCAAGTGTGTTAACGTGAGAAGTAATTTCTCCTCATGTAAGAAATGGTATATATTTGAACTGCATTTAACCTTAAACGCACAAATGAGAAACAACTTTCTGTGCTTCCTGTTCTAGAAATCTAGAAATAGCCTATGTTGCTTGTAGTGGAAAAACTGGTTCATGCTTTTGTTTTTCAAGGATAAGTTAAACACCCTTCTTGCAGTAGACTCTAAAATTACTTCAGCTACAATACGCTTAGAATTAGGTAGCTAGGATCCTGACTATGTTCCCGTCAAGATTCATGTTGATCTTCAATTCCTTCTGCTTACTTTCATGGCTCCTCAGTATCTGTCCGATGTGTTATCTGCTTGCACCCCTCCAAGCGACCTTCGCTCAGTTGATTCAGGTTTACTATGTGTTCCCACTACTAGTCTACACTCCATGGCTAACAGGCCCTTTTCCGGCTGTGCCCCAAACCTCTGGAAAGCCATTCCAAAAGAAATCAGGGACTCAGCCACATCTAGCTTGAAAATATATTGTACATTTTCAGAAAGTCTTTTCTGGAAGGTTATCTTCTCTATCTACTTCATTTTACTTTTATTTTTACTGGTGCATTTTGTGTATTGCAAAGTACTTGGCGGTGACTGCTTTTAAAGGTGTTACATAAAATCAAGTTTATTTATTGTTATGGTGAATCACAGTATAAGTAGTGTATTCACAGAAAATAGCTCTCTCAATTGAGGACTGAGATTAAGAGTTGCTTGACATTTAGGCTGGTATGCTGAAAAGAGAAAATAAATTGCGTTACCTGACAATACATTGTCTGTTTCACACTTTACTTTTCAGCATAAAATTAACCTATGTTTATTTCTGTTCTGTCTGACAAGTTCAGGGTCTAAATTCACAAGTATGCTGGCTTTTACATTTGATCCAGTTAGTTACAGAACAAAAAACAGAACTGAAAATCGACTAAGCGTGCTATTTAAGATTGACTTCTTCGGTTGTTTTAAAAGGAAGTTCTGCGGGATGCCAGCAGTGAAGGGACCCTTTTGCTATTTTCTGTCTAAATGACAACACAAGGGGGCTGGTAAAATCCTGGTCCAGCTGGGCAGAGATTATCTTTTTTTATCCGGCAAGAAAAACAATCTTGGTTTGGTTCCAACGTGTTTTCTTCTTTGCATAAAAAAAAGTAAAGAAATGCCAGATTCTTCGCTCGGCAGGCTCCTGCAGTTGACAAACCACTTGTCTCGCCAACACACACTCCCCCTTCTTCTTTGCTTTTCTAATCGCTTGGCCTTCAGAACGGCATGTTAACCTGAAGGTTCAAAATGTGCTTTGTTTTTCCAGACCATGACAAATGTAAACTAATAAAACCACCATGGTTTCCAACAGAAAAATATTCTGTACATTACATGTTACAGGTTCGATCTTGAAAAACAAAGTAAAAAAAACAGAAGGCAATACATTGGAAAATCTACTTTTTTTTTCTAACATCACTCCATATACCTGCTAGGAAGCAGCAACTGCTTTGTACTGTACATTGTGCTTGTTTATGGAAACTCTTAATGTGCTGTTGTACCAAAGCACTTCAATCAATTATTGCTTTAATCAGCACAAACTACTTCCTATTTGAGAACATTTTCACTTTTTTACAACTCTAATTTAATGATTCCCCAGAAAAAGAAAAAGAAAATACTTTTTTTTTTGCATTAGGTTAAAAGGGATTCACATTATCACTGTCGGCATGGTAACTTTGAAAAATATTTTATACTCAAGGGTCCTAATGACATTGGCTTGAGCCTTAACAAAACCGTAAGCTGCATTTTTTGTCCAATTATCTGTCTCTGCCTCTCCGGTGGAAATCACTTTAAAGATTCATTTCCTGTGCTATATCCCATTCATGCTCTTGTTTTGCAGGACTGATAATTAGCAGCTTTTTCTAAACAAAATAGATTTTTGAAGTATGTGCATAATCAAAACCTCCTCAATGCTTTGATTAATACAATTTTACAAGTGCAGCAAGAAAAACAGCATGAGGTTAAAGGCAAAGAAGCCATAGCTTGCACATGCAGAAAAAACTTGTTAACAGAATTAGCCAATTTAAGGGGACAATGCCAATTATTACACGACAGAATTCAGACGGCTCACCTTCCACTGCTCTCTTGAAGAAGACTTTGCAGCTGCCACAGGTCAGGACACCATAGTGGCAACCTGAAGCTTCATCTGAACACACCAGGCAGATCTTGTGGGCAGGTCCGCTGGCCTTGCTGGGCACTGGCGAAGGGGTGCTAGGATCAGCCCGAGATGTCGAACTACAAGACAAAAAAAAAACAAGTCTTCAACAGGAGTCTCACCTTATCCTGGAGTGCCACGCTGTCTTCTGATTTTTTGTAGGTTCCGGCTGGGACTTAATTGGTTCCATTATTTGTCAACTTAGTTAATCTTGTTTTCCTGGTGTATCATCATGTGATATTTAAGGCTACAAAGCTTACAAGACTGTAGCTCTCCACAAAAAAGTGTTACAGACTCACACATTAACAGGTCACTATCCATTCATTTGTATACAATACTAAACTTTAATTGCACAGTATGTAGCATGTATTGGGATAGTATACAATGCTGTGCAATCAGGAGTTACAATGTACTGTATGTCATGAGCATCAACAATTAAGCCTACTAGTATTTTGTAATAATGTAATACCTTGCAAGTTATACAGCTTACTGTGGGAGAAACCAAACTCGTCAAGCAGCAGTTGTTAATTCCCATTGATCACAATCTAACCTTCAAAATCCTGATCACAACACCTCAAGGTAAATACACATGAGCAGCCAGTTTGAATGATGCTTTGGTTATAAAATAACATTCACTAATCAATGTAACTGGCTCATTGTAAGTTGTTCCTCATTATTAAATGATAATTTATTAATGGCAGCGGCCTTGGTTAAGCATACCAGTGTGCAGTAGTTAAGTTAGTGCTCTGAACATATGACTATAAGTTGGAGGGTAAAAATCAGACAGAGCACTGCTGTGGTAGCCTTGAGAAAGGTTCTCCACTAGGACTGCTTAGGTAAAAAGCACATCCACACATTTACTTTGTAACCATTAATTTTAGATTAATTCCTGTTACCCTTCCTTTGCCCTGTTTCAGTTACTCCTATAATGTCCTAGTTACCTGTTAATGTATCATGTTCTCGCATTTCATTCCTCATGCTTATAACATTGAGATCAAATCTTTATAGAAAGGGTGTTATTTAAGTTGCCTGGGCTTACGAGATCCCACCAGAATCAGCCTACTGTATTGTGGGTTTCTTTCCTCTCAGTCCCCAACTTAAATATTTTTCAGCTATGAGAATATGCTCCTCTTGTTCCAGGGCAATATATCCCACTTGCATAGATCCCATTTATTCCTGAAGGACTCACATTGCCCCTCAAATCTAAAGCCCTTTCCTTTGTACCACTCTTTCAGACAAATCTGTACCTCCTGACAAAAAGACTACGTTACAAAGTTAGCATCAACAAAATCCTAGCAGAGATCTCATCCCCCTCTGGCCTGATTGCTGTGGGATGCTACTCCTCGTCATGCGGTTCTACAGGTTGGCTGGTTGCACTTGTGTCCTTGTTAAAGGCATTGGCGAGCTGATCCCACAGATGTTTAAGTAGGCTTCAGCTCAGATCAGGAGGAAAAGCAGATCACAGCTGGACCTCAACTCTTGTTCTGCTCAAAAAATGATAATATTAGATTAATGTCGTGCTGAAAAAGAAAACCTGTTCTCTAGGTTTTTGCCAATATAACTGAACAGTAAAGATGCAAGATGGTCAACATATTACTCCCTGATTAACTCAGGCATGAATAGTATTTTCACGCTGACAGCAGGTTAGAGGTACCCTGCCGATGTGCAGGTTATTTAATCTTAGATGCTTCCAGTCACTGTAGTTTGAAAGCACCACCCAGATGTTTTGAATGAATATGATTGTTCTGGGTTAATGTGGTGAATCTCTACACGACAGAGATTTCTGATTGTTAAATCAGAATATATAATTCTCCGGGAAACGTATCTTAACTCAAGCAGGAAATGATTGGATCTTCCTCTTTGCTTATATGTTCTTTAATGTTTCTTATTAAAAAATAGTCAAGTCTGCAAATAATACCAAAATAGGAGGATAAACAAACATAGTAGAAGCTGCTAATGTAGTACAACAGGATTTGGATAATATTCAAGACTGAGCAAACACCTGGCCCAGTGTGACATTTAATGTAGACAAAAGCAAGGTTTTGCAAGCAAATAGTAAAAAACTATAAATGCACAAGGCTACATGAGGCCACAAGGGTTTTCTCCTCATACTCCAGTTTCCTTCCACTGTCCAAAGACATGCTTCCCAGGTTAACTGGCATTTCTAAATAGTTGAATATATACACTGCAATAGACCCTATATTGGACTAGGCAGTTAATTGAAAATGGATGAATGGATGATATGAACCATACTACTGTATATAACCAACAAACCTGTATCTGTCCAAAAAGCTACTATGTTATATGATGCTCTGAGGTCCTTCCACACAAAAATAGGTACACAATGTTTGAGACATTGAGAAATGAAACATGAAAGAGAGATAACAGGAAACACATGTATGTGTGCTCTTACTTTCCCACACAGTGTACTGAAGCCTTCTTGCAGTTAGATTCAGCATAGTGTAGTTAATACAATCTTACTTGCGGCATTCAATTAATTCTGCTATGCCAAATTAAATCTTATCTTTTCAATGTATTATTAAGCATTTCTAATGCTGTCACTAAAACTTTCCATTTTTAGAGATAAGCGTTCAGATATTCTTTAACCAAAAATAAAAAGCTATTTAGAAATACTTTTTCCTTTGCATACCTATAAACAGTAACAGAAAATGGAAAGCATCTTAAAAGAGGATATCCTTTCTGATTTAATAAAGCTAAACATCTGTATTAAGCTTTAATTTATTCGACCGTATAAGAAAAAAAAAACCTTATCATTGCCTTTGTTAGGATTATAAAGGATTATGTACTGTAACTACCTTATTAACATCCAAAACAGTAAAATTATAGTGCGTTAACTGTAGAACAAATGAGCCCTGTTAACATGGAACAATAATATCATTGCTATGATGGAAAAATCACTACTTCTAACGAGACATGTCAAATTGGGGTTGTCTTACACAAGCCTTCACATTTTCTATGCATAAAATTCAAGTACAATATGTCTAGTGTGCACAGAAAGTGATTTGTATACCACAGACAAAAACATCACTATAGTGGTTTGTGAAACCAAGTCTTCTAAAAGCGGAAGTCTTCCACGGTTATAACTTTTATAAATTACCCCTTTCCTTGAGGGTAGAATACAGACTGAAATCTATCACTCTTGGTCCATCTTCCTTGCCAAATCCAAACATACATCTCTCATTGTGTGACACACGTTAGCATTAATGCAAACAGCTCTTTGTCACTTAAATTATCAGTTTACACATGGATAAAACATGAACTCCACAGCTTGCACTTCACTTTAAAAAAACTTTTGGAACGAAAGCAAAAACAGAAATAATAATACATATTATATATTAAGTATTTAAGTAAAACAAGGTGGCCATACACTCAAATACTGTACATGTGCACATCTGAGAACACACTGGCAGCAGGCTCTCTGGTCTTATAAAGTCTGAAGTCATTGGCACTTCTTTGAGTCAGAAGGAAGTGCTTATGAAAACCCACCACCAGGTGGCACTTGACTTACCAGTGCCACCATTCCAAACTTTTACTCCCTCAGAGCAGGGACATGCCTTGCAGAATCTGAAGAATTCAGAGAGGAGGTGAAGACACAGCACGCACATAAAACACCAAACTTTATTCTGCTGCGAAATGAAAAACATTTCAAAAAGCATCCAAAATAAAAAAAAACACATGGTTTCTGCACTCATAGAGTCATTCATGGATTTTAAATTTAGCAGGAAAAAGACAACATGTAAGGCTTACTAATAAATACAAATAGATAAATGATTAAAGGAAGGGAAGAGGGTTAAAATACCTTCTTATCTGCTTTACAACAAAAACAACCTTAGTGGTATGTAGCAGCAACCACGTGCCATCTGTGTGATCACATACTGATGACATTTGCATTCAAGCTCTGCCTGTGATTTACAGCAGTTTCTTCACCTACTGTTACACTGGGTGCATGAGTGAACTGTCTAGAAACCCTACAGCTGCCAGTTCCAATTCTGGAAAAAAAAACTCACAGCCCTGGTTTTGAACCCGTCCACCTCTAAAAGGTCTATTTGAGAAGTGCATTCAAAAGTAAAACAGGAGACACTTCATTACACAAAAGGCTGGAGGAGTCTGGAACAAGCTACCAAGCCATGCTGTCAAAACACATACTCTGGCTTCCTGTAAGAAACTGCTGGATCCTTGGATCAGTTAGCTACAGTACTAACAACATAACAAGCGAGAGGCACTGAATGGCTTCCTCTCCTTTGTAATCTTTATTATATTTCAATGAAACACATCATTTGGATCTTATGATCATGTTAAATTAAAACTTATTGATTAAAACCTTTTTATTATATTCACAACGTATCTGCTCTATTTTATGCTGATATCAGAACAGATAGGCCTATACCTTGTTTGTAATGTAGTGCTCAAAACTGTACATGATTTCCTAAATGAGATATTGTTAGTGCATAAGTACACTGTACAATTTCAACATTACAACAGCTGTTTTAATTGTACCCTTAACTATTTATTCTAATACTGCTTTTCATTTCTTCCCACAGGTGTTAAAAAACAATGTGCCATACACAAACACCTAAGTCTTTTTCATATGTACTGTAGCTTCTTCAAGCTCTTTACATATATTTAGCTTGCTTTTATGAAAAGACAAGTGCTGTACATAAAACACTGCACTTGTCTGCATTAACCATCATCTGCCTGGTGCTTGAATTTTATCCTAAAAAACTTCCTTTAACGCTTCAACACCCTGTGCTAACCCACTTATCTTGAGATGATCTCCAAACTTATCTTACTAACTTACTTAAGTAACTCTTAAGCAACTTAGATTACTACCAGAATCTAGATGTGAATGTAAAAAGAACAGTGGTCCAAATATAGATCCCTGTAGTACTTCTCTAATTGCATCTTCCCAAATTGAGCTTTCATTACCTACTATATGTGTATTCTATTCTCTATCCATTATCAGTTCTCAATCCAGAAACATGCTTTACACTGCCTACAATTTCAGAACTGTTTTATAAAAGCATTCTGAAAATAAAAGTTTCCACAATTCAAAGAAAAT